GAAGAGTCAAAGAGGGACGTAAACTATAGAAATGATCCTATGAAGTACGTCGACAAAGAAAGGAAAGTTCCAAACCGTTAGAAAGCAGGGAGGCGAACAAGCTCCTTTTATAGCATGCAGCAGCGTGCAGGAGGCTTGGTGAAAAATTTGAGATCCAAAATATCCAGACAGGTTTTTTTACTAGGGCTTACAAGGGCAGGGCTCGAAACCGTAGGAAAACTGACAAAGGGGATAAGGGTGCAACTATCACGGGGGAAGAAGCGTAGCGATGCCCTCTTCAAATCCTGTTCCACTCTAAGACCCGAACTTTCTTACTTTAATACCGGTCAGATACTCTGGCATGCTTTCCAAAAGGCTTTCCCGGGTTGGCGATTCGTGTAGCTTCCATCCGCGGCTATATTCTTCCCGAATACTACAGTCACGTGATAAAAACCTCCGACGGGCCGGGCCGAGGCACGGAGGACGGCACACACTTCGCATATCGCCTAAAAGTGGGGATATAAAGCAGGCAATCGCCTCTCCGCCAAACATCTCCCCGATAATCCTTTAACCATAACATTATTCCTATCATGTCTTTAACTGGCTCTCAAATTACAGCCCGATCGTTGAAGAACCTCGGGGTGACGGTGGTGTTTGGGATCGTGGGCATCCCGGTTGTTGAGGTCGCTGAGGCGATTATCGCGGAAGGCATCCGCTTTGTGGCTTTCCGCAACGAGCAGTCCGCTTCCTACGCGGCTAGTGCTTACGGATACTTATCCGGGACTCCCGGGGTGTTGCTCGTCGTTGGTGGCCCCGGCGTGGTGCACGCTTTGGCCGGGGTGTTCAACTCCAATACAAACCGATGGCCCTTGGTAGTCTTGGCTGGCTCCTGCTCCTCAGACGAAGCTTACAAGGGAGGGTTCCAGGAGCTTGATCAGGTGACCTTCATGTCTCCGCATACAAAGTTTGCAGGAAAACCCGGCTCGTTGCGGCACCTCCCGCGAATCATCGAAAAGGGTTACAGATCAGCGTTCTTCGGCAAGCCAGGCGCTACCTACATTGACTTGCCGGCGGATATCATCCAGGGAGCCACGTCCGAAAAGATTAATTTTGGCTACGTCGAGCGGTTGCTCGAGGCGCCAAGATCCATGGCCGATCCCAACAGAGTAGAGGCCGCTGCACGTCTCCTCGCAGGTGCTAAGCACCCATTGGTGGTGGTTGGTAAGGGTGCTGCGTACGCAAATGCGGCTGCGGAGATCCAGAGGCTTGTCAACGACTTCAACCTTCCGTTTTTGCCCACCCCGATGGGGAAGGGTGTGGTTTCGGATGACTCAGTCTTGAACTTTTCCTCCGCCAGATCGCAGGTGTTGGCACAATCTGACGTAATTTTGTTGATTGGCGGGCGGCTTAACTGGATCTTGCACCACGGCGAGGCGCCAAAGTTCTCCCCGGACGTTAAATTCATCCAGATCGACCTCCACGCGGAAGAAATTGGGACCAACGCTCCGCATTCCGTCCTGTACGGTTTGCTTGGGGATATCCGACTCGTGGCGGGCCAATTGCACCGGGAATTAAAGTCCCACGAGGCGAAATTCTCGATCAAAAACGAATGGGTAACTGCCAAGCAGAAGAACGTTGAAAAGTTGGCAGCCAAGGAATCTGCCACCACTGCCAGCGATGAGCTTTTGCGCTACAATAGGGTATACCGTATTGTCAAAGACGAATACGCGCAGTTGTTTGCCCAAGGGAAGGTGTTCCTTGTAACCGAGGGTGCCAACACCATGGATGTAGCGCGTGTTGCGTTTGGCTCCACCACCCCGAAGTCACGTTTGGATGCGGGCACCAATGCGACGATGGGGTTGGCTATTGGCTATGCCATTGCCGCTAAGATTCATTCCCCGGAGAAGGTGGTTCTCTCCGTGGTGGGGGATTCCGCGTTTGGATTCTCGGGCTTGGAGATCGAGACCGCAATCAGAAGCGGGTTGCCGCAGATTGTCGTGGTTATGAACAACAGCGGTATATACCACGGGGAGCTTGATGAGGTGTACACTGTCCGTGGAGACAAGCAGTTGCCTCCCACCGTTTTGGGCCAGGACACCCGGTATGATATCTTCTCACGTGCCTTGGGGGGTAACGGAGTGTTAGTGAAGACTGAAAAAGATTTGGTTGAAGGGTTACGTTTCGCTTTGGAGAATTATAAGAAGAATGAGACAACCATTTTGAACGTCTTGATTGATAGGGGTGTGGGTGGGAAGATTGGGTTCGGCTGGCAGAAGAAGGGCAGTGGGAAGTTGTAATGGATAATAATTGTGCGTGCAAGATAGAACATTTTCAGTTATTGTCTAGTTTTTTTTTTCTTTGTCTCTCTCAGCTTGATATTTTTTATTGTAAAACTGTTTTAATTGATGTTTATATGTTCAATGACAAGCAATTGCTCCCCAATAAGGTTGTCACCTGACAGAATTCTGTGTAAATGCTCTTTGTAACGCCATTGGGGTTTGGTTCAATGGACCTGGAGGTTTCAATGATATACTTGATAAATATCATCCCATTGGATAGACTCATGCGGTATATAATCCTCATTCTCTCCCAACGCTATGTCTCTACAATACCCGGGTAGCCCGAACGACACCCCTATATTCCATTTTTAGCTATCGCTCTAGGACTTACAGAATGTATACGTATGGGGGCACGTTTGACGACACCGGTGACGGAAAACTCTGAGATATCCTTATGAATCTCACATCTAATGACCCTTCAATCCCACTTAAAGGTAAATCAGCATTAAAACCATGATCAATCACTAACGGGGATGCCATCCCCAATGGCATTGGATCCTGCACATACCACTGCGGTATCTGCTGCGCGCGCTCCTTGGCGTCCCTTTCCGTGCCCGCTACGTGCCATCTGGTACATCCGATAAAAGTCCGCAGCTCTCCATTTCTCCGTCATTCTCCCTCAATCAATCAACAATGCTTCAATTACAGCCAAATAACCTCCTCATTCACACCACGTTGACTGAGCGCCTCGATCCGGCGGCAGTTCCACTGGCGATTGATCGCATTGTCACCGATTACGACTTCACCACGTACCACATCTCGAACCTCGAGAACAAGAGCCAAATCCTCGTGTCGATGTCGATCAAGTGTTTCCCCGACTTGCGCAAGTACGGCGTGGATGGCGTGATGGCCCGCGAGTACGGCGCGTACGTGACGACGCCAGAGGCGGGCTACGACGTGTCCTTGTTGTTGGACCTTGAGACGACGAGTGCATTGTCGGACGCTGTGCGCGCGGAGTTGGTGGAAAAAGTGTCGTATTTCAAGCGTAATGCGATGGCGGCCGCATTCGAACGGGCGTTCGAGCGCTTCGATGTCTTGTCGCAGGAGTCGGTTGCGAAGCAGGTAGATTTGTATGCGCCGGAAAACACCAGCGATGAGGAAATCTTGGTCTTGAACTACAGAGACGACGAACAGATCTTCATCAGACCGTCTTTTGACAGAGTGACCGTCATTTTTTCCACCATCTTCAAAGACGAGACCGACAAGATCTTCGGTAAGGTGTTTCTCCAGGAGTTTGTGGACGCGCGCAAGAGAGCGGTCCAGAACGCGCCACAGGTGTTGTACTCGCACAAGGAGCCACCGTTGGAATTGTCCAGGTTGGGAGTTAAGCAGGAAGAAAACAAGGGGTTTATCACGTTTGTGTTGTTTCCGAGACATTTGGCGCCAACAAGAAGAGAGAACTGTATCACGCACATTCAGTTTTTCAGAAACTACTTCCATTATCACATCAAGTGCTCAAAGGCGTATATGCACTCGAGAATGAGATTTAGGGTAAGCGAGTTTTTGAAGGTGTTGAATAGAGCTAAGCCGGAGAACTTGGAAGTGGAGAGAAAGACCGCGACGGGGAGACGGTTTGAACATTAGTAGCCGCGGCTTGGATGTGGGTTTAAGCATGGCCAGCAGCGAAGCCTAAAGGCGAGCCTACCGCTGGGGATATTTTGTCTCGGTACTTTTATTTCCTGTGTACAATCTTTATACAATGTTTCATGATCAACCAAGGTAGGCATAGGAGGGAGCAGAAAGGTGAAAGCAGCAGGGATGTCTGGAGGTGCTACCCCAAAGGATGTCGCATTATGGATATTCTCTATTAATGTTCTGTATTTCTCTGTTTCATTTATATTTCCCTATTTCATCTATTTTTCTGTTTCATCTATTTCCCTGTTTCATCTATTTTTCTGTTTCATCCTTTTTTCCCTGGTTCAATCTTTAAATATGATACTTCAAAAGGTAAAATCTAGCTGTTATCAGGAAGCTGAATGTAGGGGTAAACTAATGAAATAATGGCACCATCGCATTACTTTATCCCCATAAGTGTTCCTCTATGACATCATCTAACCCCCAAAAGTCTGTTAGCCTTTTAGACTAAGCCGAGACTATTACGCAATCGCCTTCAAAGTCCCAGTCGTCGCTTTAAGTGAGCACGCCTAAACCCCCACCTATAACCGGTTTAGACAAAACCACACGTTAGTAAACTCGGGTGCCTATTTCAAACCTTCCTGGCTAGTCTCTCGCCAGGAAGATGGAACAAATTTAGCAAGCCTGACTCGGTGCTACGCTCCCACACCTACAGCTTTCAACATCCATGCTTCTATTTACACTTTGCATGGCTAGTAAATGTACACGGCCCCATCCAAGCTCACCTCTAGTGGCAACCGGCTTAGTCCTTTGATGGCTTCTTCACTCCGTACTTGGATCTGGAGGAGATTCTGTTGGCAACACCATTCAAATCCATGGCTCCTCTAACGGTATGGTATCTGACACCCGGCACATCCTGCAAACGGCCACCTCTGACGTACACCACACTGTGCTCTTGGGCGTTGTGGCCCTCACCCCCAATGTAGGCCGAAACCATCCTGCCGTTTGTCAATCTGACACGGCAGCACTTTCTCTGGGCAGAGTTCGGCTTCTTTGGCTTCAAAATCATAACTCTGACCACCACACCCTTCTTGAACGGGTTCTGGCCCAAATCTGGCGCCTTTGACTTGTACGGCTTGCGCGGTTGCTGGTTCCAGGCGCCCTTCTTAATCTGGTTGACAGTGGGCATAAAGCGCTGGGCGGTTGTGCTGAAGGAAGCCATGGCGGCGAAAGGGGCGCGGGTAAAGCCAGTAAGCTGGGTCGAAACCAGTCTCATAGGGGCAAAGCCCGCTCTGAACATGTTTCTGAGCATTTTTTTTTTGCGTGGTGTGTGTCAATTTCTCAATCGGTTCTTCGACCCATCGTCACTTATATCTAGAGCGTGCCGGAGGTTTTTTATTTTGCGGCAACTTACCCGGCAGATATCAAGTCGTGCGTAAACCAACAAATCACCCAGTAAAAATTCGAGGTTATATCTCGGTACAGGCTCAGAGACCGTAACGACACTTCTATCCTATCCCTAACCATGTTGGCCCAAACTTTCACCAGATCCTTGAGATTCGTTGCGCTCCGCACCTTTGCCAGACCGGCCCCAGTTGTCATGCAGCCAATCAGACTCTACTCCGGTGCTGCGCCGTTGACCAAGGAGTTGGCCACCGAGCGTATCATGGACATCTTGGAGGGGTTCTCCAAGGTTGACCAGTCCAAGATTGCCCTTGAAGCCTCTTTTTCTCAAGATTTGGGCTTGGACTCCTTGGATGTAGTGGACGTTGTCATGGAGATGGAATCTGAGTTCTCCATCGAGATCCCAGATGAACACGCCGACCAATTGAAGACCGTCAGCCAGGCCGTCGACTACATCATGTCCCAGCACGACGCCTGTTAAGGCCAGTGGCTTACCGCGGATTCCCGTACACACCAGGGCTGCACCCACAAGGCCGCTTCCCGCGCGATTATGACCTTTTATGTGTTTTATTTATTGTTGTTTTTTTTTTCGCTTGCATGGTTAGTTTAAAAAAAACTAGACCCTGTGTGTTTGTAGAGCAAGTGAGCACGAGGTTAGCATGAAACCTTTAGGAGTGAGTGACTTAACCACTGACATCGATACCAGTGGCCTCTTATGGAGGCTCCGAAAAGCAGGTCCTGCTGGTCGCTCCTTTCACATACTGAGTAGACGCACCGGCTACTCCACGCGTCCAATAATTACACTTCGAAGTCGACTCCCCTGACATCGGTCAGGGCATAATTTAAAGTGACAAACGAAACTCGGACGAAAGTTCCAGGCCAATACATGCAGAAGGAAGTCTATGCTTTTCAGAAGACTTCTTCTAGAGGCTTGCAAGACACCGTTCAAAACGAGGTTAAATAATTGTTTTGTTATTACTTTTTATGTATATCTTGCTTATAAGTGAAATTTCTCTGTTGGCGCTTCCTAGAATATAAATGGTAAAAGTTATCCGAATCATCCCCGGTTTGTTTCCGCTGAAATAAAGGAACTCTGTTCTACCCGCAGGTCGTCTCAGATAATCAGATTCTCGGTTTTCCGGGGTTGGCTATGGCAGAGTACAGAGATAAAATAGGGTTTCTTTCTCTTTTGTTGCTAGTATCATGTTCACCTCTAGTGTTGCGTGAATGGTTCCACCAGTTCGAATCTTCCCCGGCCCCTTATTAATCTACGGCTCTCGCTTAAACCTTGTATAGAACTGCTCTATGAACAGAATCCACCTCAAGCTTTCAGGGGAGGCTCAGTCATACAAGGCGTAAAGCTCTTTGATAGATGGGTCAGGCATGGCGACCTAAAACCGTTGATGCAACTATGTACGCTTCCCGATTGGGACCATGAGGCTGCTGCCTTCTGTCTCACCGTAGACGTCAGGTAGGATTCCTTTAGTTTCTTTTCTTCGTTTGATGGTAACTCTTGGGGATTCCACGAACGATAATATGGTACCACTAACCGAATTCATTTTTTTTCTATCGAGGGTTTCATCAAACTTCTGTACCTACTTTCTCAAGTACAATACGCGCTTGCTCTTTCTATATCCGGGTGTTTTCTCCTAAGATAGTACCCTGAATTCGTGGAGTCGGTGTATGATTGAGTATCTGAACAAAACCCAGAGGAAATATTGCCATACACCTCTCATCTACTTAGAAATTTGCCCCTCATAGGTCTACTCCGTGCCTATTTCCAAGATCTACATATTGTGAACCTCGTTACCGTCTTAAAGGAGAACTGCATTCATTACACACTCCAATCCGGTATCAATATCTGGATAGTTTTATTATCTTGAAAATTCTTCTAGATCGCACCACGGTGGTTCTTTTCCGCCCTTCCCCTGATAAAAAAATGATCTCAAGCAACATTCCTAAACTTTCAGTCCAAGAACGAATCGACGCCGCCCGTGAAGAGGCAAAATTCCTCGTCCAAGAGATCGACAGAACCAGAGCCTCCACTCAGGATGCCCAGCTCATCGAGATCTCCAGCAACGTACCCACGCTTAATCGCGTGACTTACTTGAAGCCATACCAGTCTTTACGTGGCCATGGAAACAAAATATCGAGCGTCAGATGGAGCAATGACTCACGGCAGATCCTCTCGGCCTCCCAGGACGGCTTTATGATCATCTGGGATGCTACCACTGCGATGAAAGTCAATGCAATTCCCTTGAGCTCTCCTTGGGTACTCGCGTGTGCCTACTCGCCTAACGGAAGAATGGTTGCCTCTGGGGGCTTGGATAACGCGTGCACCCTTTACCGTATTTCGCATGAATCAATTGATCACAGCAGGACGGGAGAGTCTGGCTACGGAATGGTGGGGGGCTTGACTCAGAATATTGTTTCGGTCTTCAAAGGGCACACTGCTTACATCAGTGGTTGTGAATTTCTCTCAGAGAACTTCACCCTCACTTCCAGCGGAGACATGACCTGTGCCCTTTGGGACGTCTCACGAGGCAGTAGGGTACGAGAGTTTATGGACCATTTAGGGGATGTTTTGTGTCTAGCGGTTCCTCAAAGCCAACACGGCTCGCAGAGTTTTGTTTCGGGTGCCTCCGACGGTTACATCCGTCTTTGGGACATCAGACAACGGGCCCCGGCGCAGAGCCATTTTGTCGCCCATTCAGATATCAACTGCATGAAGTTCTTTCCGGACGCAAATAGCCTCGCCACCGGATCCGACGACGGTTCAATCCGTTTGTTTGATTTCAGGGCTGATTGCCAGTTGGCTAGCTACACATTGCCTCGCACCTTGCGGAACTCTTCGTACGGAAAGGCCAATTTCCCAATGGCAACACCACAGCCCCAGTACGCACAGTGCTGGCAAGGTTCGTACGTGAGCGATATTGAGAGTTTAGCCTCGGAGACGGACACGCAGAGTGTATCTTCATTAGATTTTTCCGCTTCTGGAAGAATGCTTTATGGGTGTATCGGTGATTACGGGTGCGTGATTTTTGATACGCTTCGTACGGATGCGGTGGGGAAGCTTGAAGGTCATTCAAACCGGGTAAATATGGTGAGTTGCAGTCCCGACGGGATGGCCGTCTGTACCGCCTCCTGGGACTCCACCATCAAAATATGGTCTATCTAATATGATGCTTCAACATCGGGCTAAGTACGTTTGTTGACATGAACCACCATACATTTGTTCTCTCACGGCTGAGTTTAAAATAAAGTACTAGTAATTCAAGAGCGTAGTGAATAGGGTAAATGATTAGGTGTTTGTATTGGGGGAGTCACGGCTGATATGTCAGTACCTTAGAGAGGAAAGTAGTGCCCTTTGTACAAAGATATAACGGCAATGTAGTTTCGGTTCACCCCAAACGGAAAAGAACATGTATCCACAGATTATACAGACAATGAATCTAATGGCCATGTAACACCAGCTAAAATCTTATAGTGACCGAGACTGCCCTTGGCTAAGATCTGAATAAGGAGTGGGAGCTGCTCTTGGTATCACGGCGAACCTAGGCTTTGCTGTAACGTTAGTCTTCCTTAGCACCGGATACTCCTCTTTGGTCCCACACATTCTACATGGTGACAGTATTCGACATAATATTTATTTCGCTCTAGACTCCTTGTCAAGGAATTCGGTCCAGAGCGAGACGAAACTCTCGCGCACGCGCCCCTCACGCTCTTCGCCTGCAGCGCCGACGCCGACACGGCCAACCAACCCTGCCTGTTGCTGCTGCTGCTCATCCCAGCCCAAAATTCCGCTGATCAACTGCAACACCTGGAATTTTTTCTTATCGCCTCTTTGGATCGCTAGGAACTGGAGGAACAAGTTCGTGATGAGCTGCTTATCAACATTCTCCGACTCGTGGTCCTTCTTGATGAGCTTGAGCGCCTTCGTGAGATGCTCGTTGAGGATGATGGCTTCGTGGCGGAGTTTTCCGATCTGGAGCTGTTTATTATGCGAATCCTTCAACGCTTCGTCTAGTAACGTCTGTACGCCCAGAGCCTGTTCGATCTTTGTGGAAAGCTCAGCCGTCTCGTTCATAGACGTGACAAGCTGCTCCTGGAGTCGCAACACTGTTTGTTCGTTTCTGGCCGCCGTTTGAGCCATCATCATGTCTTGATCAGTAATCTTCTTCTCAAGAAACGCAATATGATTTTGAGACTCCGTCTTTTCCTTGGTCAAGATAGAAATTTCGACATCCTTGGCTTTGCTTTGGGCTTGGAACTCGTCCATCTGGCTCTGTAGCTCCTTCACTGTGGCCTGCTCTTCCAACTGCACCACCCGTGAGTCTTCCCTGGCCGCCTTCATCTCTTCAATCTTTTTCGCGAGTTTGTGGTTGCTGGACACGAGCGAGTCCTTTTCTTGGGTCGCAGAGTCGTCTCTGAGCTGGTACTCGCGTCTCAACTTTGCAAGGTCGTGGCTCAAGCGGTCGCATTCGGTGTTTAGGTCCGTGGTTTCTTGTTTCATCGCAGCGAGTGCCGCGGCCAGCGCTTCCTTTTCCGCGGAAACGGTCGCGCACCGAGCCTCTAATTCCGTGGTTTTCGTAGTGGCCGTGTCCAACTGCGTTCGAGCTTCCTCTAACTCGGCCTCCACCTGTTTCAGCTTCACTAGGATATGTTTCACCTGCGTCAAGCGGTTGTACAAGACGTCGTAGTTGGATTTGTGCTGTTCAGAGGTGGCCTCACTCTGGCGGAGTTTCTCCTCCAACTCTATGGTTCGGGCATCTGAAGAGACTCCCAGCGGCGCTGTTTCAAGTTTCTGTGTCAACTCAGCGATCCTCGCATGTAGGGCTAATATTTCCTGGGTTTCAACGCCATTAGCGCGCTGGAGGTTGGCCTCCGGGGTTTTTGGTTCGGTCTCGGCTGGTGAAACTTCAGTCTTCTCTGGAATGGCCAATTCTCCATTTTCTTCGGCTTCTGGGACATTCACCCCAAGCACCATTTCTGGGACATCTTTCACGTTTCCGTTAACCACCTCTGTCTCCTCGGTCGCTTCAGTCTCATGACTTGGGGTTTGTGTGGGCACTACACTCGCCTCATTATTCTTCTTGGAATTCTTCTTCTTTGCCATTGCTGTAGGCTCAAGTGTGCAGTGGTTGTACCGTTTGGCTGGCTACGTGTTATATGCGGGCCTATAAACGTCGTTCAGGCGTGTATCAATACGGTTGAGGCACGCACTAATCAAGTTTTATGGGAATTTAGCTGGGCTTTTTGGAATTGTCGGTATGTTTTTAACGGGTAAATTTTAACATTTTGGGTGAAGTATTATTCAAGGTTAATTGGTGTTTCTATCATACAGTCTTCACGTGGTGCGAAGGGCATATGGTAATTTTCTACATTGAGCCAAGCATCGTACCGTGTAGGGGGGAACATGTGGGAGATTCTTCCCAGGCTCTGAACGGTCAGTGTTAAACTGAAACCAGGCCACGCTTTCCGCGTGTCCTCTCACCATAATTGTTTTCCTGCCTACCGTTGCATCTACACATCACTTCATCATTATAAATATATCGCGTACAGACTACCTCTGTTGTTAGAATGACTTCTAACTCCAATTGCGCCCAGTCATCAGAATTACCAGACTTTGTCCGCCCCTCTGGCTCCTTAGTAGGATCTTCCAAACATACAGTACAGCTTGGCCTTCTCCTCACACTTCACACACTTGGTCCCCTCCTTCATCTCTGGCTGCGCAAACGGAATACACAAGGACTTGGCACCCATAGATGGGGCCTTCTCGTCAACCTCCTCCTCCTCCTCACCGTTTCTGGCAGAAGAGTCCTTGATATCCTCCTCACACTCCATAATACCACACCACGGCGCAACAACCAAGTTCTTGTTGTTCAACTCCTTGACAAAGTCGGCCCAGTTTTCAACGGTCACACGGTGCTCGTCGAAAGTCTTGCGGGCCTTGGCAAGCATGGTAGCCTGGATGTCCTCCAACAACGCTGGGATAGCGGTTTCCAAGTCAGCAAGCGCAACAGTCTCCTTCTGGCCATCGTTTCTTCTGACACAGGTGACAGACGCTGATGCCAAGTCCTTAGGACCGAACTCGATTCTCAACGGAACACCCTTCAACTCAGCGTCGGAGAACTTCCAGCCTGGTGAGTAGATCTCTCTGTAATCACCGAAGGCACGGACATTAGCCTCACGCAATCGGGTTTCGACGGCGCGGGCACCGGCCATGATGGCGGCCTCCTCCTCCTTGGTGGTCTTGGCAGTGATACCGCATGGGATGACCACGACCTGGTCCTTAGAGACACGTGGTGGTACGACCAACCCCTTGTTGTCGGAGTGGACCATGACCATAACCCCAATGACTCTGGTGGATAAACCCCAGGAGTTTTGCCACGCAAACAACTTCTCATCCTCGCCGTATTTCTCGGTGTCTGGGTTTTCAACCACAATGTTGAACATCTTGGAAAAGTTCTGGCCTAAACAGTGAGAGGTGGCACCCTGGATCCCTCTGCCGGTGGCTGGAATGTAACCCTCAACAGTGGTGGTGAAATAGCCACCAGCAAACTTTTCCTTCTCGGTCTTGATGCCCTTAACAACCGGAACAGCCAACAACTCCTCGTAAATACCGGCATAGAGGTCTAAGATCTGCATCACTTCGGCGTTGGCCTCCCCGAAGGTCATATGCACGGTGTGGCCCTCCTGCCAGAGGAACTCTCTGGTTCTCAAGAATGGCTGTGGGTGCTTGAACTCCCATCTGACGACCGAGTTCCACTGGTTCAACTTCAACGGCAAGTCTCTATGGGACTGAATCCACTTGGAGTAGTATGGGTACATGACGGTCTCAGACGTTGGTCTGATGGCGATTGGCTCGTCCAACTCGGAGTTACCAGCTCTGGTGACCCACGCAACCTCTGGCGCGAAGCCTTCGATGTGGTCCTTCTCCCTCTCCAAGACCTTGGAAGACACAAACATTGGGAAGTACACATTGGAAACACCCATCTTCTTGATGCGGACATTGAACCATTCCTGGATACGTTCCCAGACGGCGTAGGAAGAAGGTCTCATGATGTAGCACCCGGAAACATCGTAGTAGTCGAGCATCTCACCCTTGGTGAGGATCTGCGAGTACCAACCTGGGAAGTCGAGGAACTTGTCCACGGTGACACCGATGAGCTTGGCATCCAAGGCCGCAGATGCAGCCTTTGGCGCTGGCTTCGCCGCCGGAGCGACTGGGGCCGCGGAGAAATCAACTGGGATCACCTCCACACCGGTCGCTGCCAAGAACGCGGCAACAGTCTTGCCTTCCAAGGAAAGCGCGCCAGATTCAGACGCAAAGGTGAAGATTTCTGACTCGCCCTTTAAGATGTTTTCATCAACCACAACCTTGATCTGGTCCTTGAGGGAGGCATCGATGTTGGCAATAGAGAATTGCTTGGCGGTGACACCAAAAAACTCCTGGACCAAGTCTTCATTCGCGAGACGTGGCTCCTTGACGCCGGCAGCGGTGGCGATGAGCTTGGTGTTGGTGGCGGTTTCAGCCAAGGCGATAACGACGACCGGCACTGGAGTGGCGGTCTTGGCGGTCTTTGGCTTAAACACAAGGGTCTTGGTAGGCAAACCAGTGCCTGTAGACGCTTGGAGGGACAACGCAGCTAGGGCGGATTCGATGGCCATTTTCTACTGAAGTTTTGGAAAGAAGAGAGGGAGAGTACAGGGAGTGTTTTGCGCGTTGTTATATTTGGCGCCCAAGCTGTCGGCAAATTTTTCCTGCGTTAACATTGAGTTACGTGGGGCGTGGCGTTCGCGAAATAGAGAAGGGGGAGGGATTCGCGAAATGACTGGTGAGTCATGGAGGTCTCTAGCATCTTGAGATACGCCCTACAAGAAAAATGGTACTTCTCTGTTGTCACTGGATGCTTTACTAGACGCTTAGAGGCATGGCATATGAGTCATTTCTGATAAGTTATGGTTGCTATAAAGGTTGAAATTTGACTCTAGAAAAAGTACCTGTAAACGTATGCTGTTGGGAAGCTCGATCTAGATAGCATGGCCTCGTACGCTTCCCAGCTATCGGAAAACGTTGAAAATACTGGATGAGAACATCCGCTCCGAAAATTACCAGAATAAACTAAACATGATACATTTCACTCGGTGTTTACTGAGCCTCGTGAGTCGACCATATTAATTATTTCAGTTCGAACCACCAACATCCTACTAGAGCCAGTGGCTCTAGACCTAAGCCCTCGGTCTAAGTATGTAATGCATCGAATATCTTACGAAAAAAAATCCATACTTACGTTACTTTCACTAATGGAACATAATCTCCGGTGTCTGGAAGATGCCCGATGCACCAAGTTCCTGTCATTGGACAGTGAGCATGGACATGTGACCCACATGCACCCGAGCCAATGCTATCCAAATAGTTTAAACTAGTTTTTTTTTTTTACAATTAATAATATAATCCTTAATATCGATCACTTTTTATTCTTATTGAGCCTAGTGCCGGTTATAGATGCTTTTTTCCACTCCATCTGAGGCTAAGAAAATTGACTCATGGCATGCAAATCGATTCGTGGCATGCGAATCAATTCATGGCATGCAAATCGACTCTGGCATGTAATTCGATTAAAGACATGCAGGACAACTGTCAAAACACAGCCACCCCTCACAATCAAACCCAGAAAAAGGTTTGGACCCTTGAAAAGACCCGAAAGTAATTAATATATGCACTAAAACCCATGTAGCTGAAAATGACCCACTCATGCTCACCATGACTCATAGCTACAACTTTTAGTACTGACAATTACGCGCATGCACGACACTGCGCACATTCCGTCCTGCCTGAAATTTTCCCCTCGTCATCTAGCCGCTCAGCACAATCCAATGATTATTTAAACGTCCACGGCTATGGCGCACTCTCTTTTTGTTTAGTACCCCCATATAATGTCTATCTACGTCAACGAATTTACCGGTAAGGACGACCGTTCCGCCACTGGTTCCGAACTGGCGCCGTACGAATCGGCCGCCTTTGCTTTATTTACCCACCCAGAAGCCAAGCTTTTCACATACAAAAAGTCCGAAGAGGGCGACGCCTACGCTGAGATCTCCGCCTCAGCCTTGAAGAAAGCCGTTAAGGGCGCCGATGGCTTGAAGAAGAAGGCCGAGAAGGCCGCCAAGGCTGAGGAGCAGAGAGCCGAGAGAGAAGCCAAGGAGCTTGCGCAGAAGATGGAGGCGATGAAGATCCAAATCGTCGAAGACGCTTCCCTTCCAAAGGCCTCCCGCATCAAGATCAGACAGGCAGGTGAGTCAGTCGCCACCAGAGTCAAGGTTTCTGGTTGGATCCACAGATTAAGAGTCCAGAAGGGGTTGGTCTTCATCGTCTTGAGAGATGGGAGCGGCTTCCTCCAGTGTGTGCTCTCTGGCGATCTTGCCAACGCCTACCAGACCTCTACGCTCACTGTGGAGTCCTCTGTCACCGTCACCGGTGTCGTCAACAAATTGCCAGAAGGCAAGTCTGCCGCCGGTGGTATCGAATTGGTGGCTGACTTCTACTCCATCATTGCCCTTGCACCATCCGGAGACGACGCTTTCACCAACAAGGTTGCCGAGGGTGCCGACCCATCTTTGTTGTTGGACCAACGCCACTTGGCCTTGAGAGGTGAATCTCTCTCTGCCGTTATGAAGGTGCGTGCTGCGTTGCTCAGATCCGTCAGAAGAGTGTACGACGAGACCCATATCACCGAGGTCACCCCACCATGCATGGTGCAGACCCAGGTCGAGGGTGGCTCAACCTTGTTCGGTTTACAATACTACGGTGAGGAAGCCTTCCTCACCCAGTCCTCCCAATTGTACTTGGAAACCTGCTTGCCAGCTTTGGGTGACGTCTACTGTATCCAGGAATCATTTAGAGCCGAAAAGTCCCACACAAGAAGACACTTATCTGAATATACGCATATCGAGGCCGAATTGGGTTTCTTGGACTTCCAGGACTTCCTTTCCCACATTGAAATGGTGCTCACCAAGTCCATCCAGTACGTGTTGGAAGACCCAGTTGCCGGCCCGTTGGTGAAGCAATTGAACCCAGACTTTGTGCCTCCACAGATGCCGTTCAAGCGCATGGAATACGTTGACGCCTTGGAGTGGTTGAACGAGCACGAGATTCCTAACGAGGACGGTGAAAAGTTCAAGTTCGGTGACGACATCGCCGAGGCCGCTGAGAGATTGATGACCGATACCATTGGGGTTCCAATTCTCTTGATGCGTTTCCCGTTGGAGATCAAGTCTTTCTACATGAAGCGTTGCGCCGATGACCCACGTCTCACCGAATCTGTGGACGTTTTGATGCCAACCGTTGGTGAAATCACCGGTGGCTCCATGAGAATCGATGACCACGAAGAGTTGATGGCCGGCTTCAAGAGAGAGGGCATCGACCCAGCCACGTACTACTGGTATACCGACCAGAGGAAGTACGGATCCATCCCACACGGTGGGTACGGTTTGGGGACCGAGAGAATTTTGGCCTGGTTGTGCAAGAGATACACCGTTAGAGACTGTTCTTTGTACCCAAGATTCACCGGCAGATGCAAGCCATAAGCGAACATTTTGCGCTTTAGCCGTTTGGTGACTAATCTTTAACGCTTGTACAGGTGAATGAATTGTAGGTGTGTGAATGGTAGTGATTTGTCAGGGTACCTCTGTCAACTAAGAGCTTTTTGGTGGGGATGTGTCTGATACCATCTATTCGGCCGTACCGTAGGTGTGCATGAAAGCCTAGCTAGATCTCTGTGGCGATTTATCTTAGATAGTTTATGAATTGTTTAGTACACCGTCTTACTGATATTTATATGCCACTTTTGGAGCTTTATCCCCATTTTTTTCTTAGTACTAGCTAGTTATATGTTTTAGGAAGCCCTTTGCTCTTCGGATAGTCGTGGTTCTCTGGTTATTACACGCACGCGCGCTCCCTACCATGACGCGTTGCGGCCAGAAAATATTTCCATCAACCCCTTTTGTACGCGTCTCTTATGTCTCACATACTACCAGCCTACTAGACCAAAATGGTTGATATCAGAGACTTTTTCGGCAATGCGCCAAAGAAGGTATGTTCTTGATTGGGCAGCCAAAGGTAGTTTCGGAAAGCCCATCCCAGAGAAGGATTATGGACATGTTTCCAACTAACTCTTTGTTCGGTGTCTCTAATTCTAACACGTCTGTTTCTTGATACTAATACTCCAGCCCGTAGGAAAGCCGGTCACAATGAAGGCCAAGCCCAAGGCCAAGCCTAAGGCCGAGCCCAAGTCCAAGAGACGCGTCATCGAATCCGACTCTGAGGATGACATGGCTGAAAGTTCCTCGCCTCCAACCCCGCCAACCAAGCAACAAAAGACAGAGAAGCTCGAGCCAACAGATGCTGCGGAGTACTTCGGTGCCAGATCCACCCGGACCCGCGTGGCGAGGCTGAAACCGCTGACTGTGGTCAGCATGGACTCGGATGAGGCAATGAGCGACGCTAGTGACGATTTTAAACCTAAGGAAGAGGATTTTGACGATTTTGACGATGATTTTGACGACGATGATGTTGAAATGTTGGACGTGATTGAGAAAAAGTATCTGCAGACGGAGCCTGCCGTGCTGGAGCCAAACGTGGAAGTTGAGCCAGCGGCGAAGCCTGTAACTAAGCCAGTAGCGAAGGCTAAACCTGCGGCTAAGCCCGCGACTAAACCCGTCACTGCCACCACAGGCGGCGTCACTGCCGAGGACATCCTCCTCACCATCCCTAATGCGGATCTTCCGGAGGATGAAGACACCACCGGAAAGTCCTTCCGCGACTTCAAGGCCCGCCAGGCAACGCTCCCCCAACCCCTGGGTGAAACGCCCCTTCCAGAAGGCTCGCCCAACTGTCTCAACGGCCTTACGATGGTCTTCACCGGTGTCCTTCCGACCCTTGAGCGTGACGCTGCAGAAGCGCTCGCAAAGCGCTACGGCGCAAAGGTCACCAAGTCCATCTCGGGGAAAACCAGCGTAGTGGTTCTCGGCGATGAAGCTGGTCCGTCCAAGGTCAAGAAGATCAAGTCGCTCAAAATCAAGGCCATCACGGAAGACGGGTTCATCCAGCTCATCCGCGGTATGCCCATCGACGGGGGTGATGGCGAGGCAGCGCAGAAGACAAAACAGAAGCGTGAGAAGGAAGAGGCCAAGATCATCGCGGAAGCCGTCCGCGTGGAGGCAGCAGAGCGCGCGCGCGAAGAAGAAGAAGCAGCCGTCCGTGCAGACGCTGCGCGTGCCAGTCTGAGTGTGCGTGCTGAACCCGCCCGCCGTGTAATCCCCAGCAGCGAAAAGTTGTGGACAACCAAGTACGCGCCCACGGATCTCAACCAACTCTGTGGTAACAAAGGCTCCATTGCCAAGCTCCGCATGTGGCTCACGAACTGGTCAGAGTATGCAAAGGCCGATTTCAAGGACCCGGGCCCCGACGGATCCGGGGTATTCCGTGCCTGCTTGATCAGCGGGCCGCCTGGGATCGGCAAAACGTCCGCCGCGCACCTTGTTGCAAAGTCGCTTGGGTACGATGTCTTGGAAAAGAACGCGTCGGACGTGCGGAGCAAGTCGCTTCTTCACGCGAATCTCAAGGATGTGCTCAGCAACACGTCTGTCGTGGGTTTCTTTTCCCATAACAATGATGTGGTCAATGCTAACAACAAGAAATTCTGTGTGATCATGGACGAAGTTGATGGTATGTCTTCCGGTGATCGAGGCGGCGCCGGCCAGCTCTCGGCATTCTGTCGCGTGACAAAAATGCCAATGATTCTCATCTGCAACGACAGGCTGTTGCCAAAGATGCGTACGTTCGACCGCACAACGCTCGATATTCCGTTCCGGAGACCGGACACAAATGCGGTCAAGGGCCGCTTGATGACCATCGCGCACCGCGAGGGCATTTCTTTGGATCCCAACGTGATTGGGCAGCTTGTCGAGTGCACCCACAACGATATCCGCCAGATGATCAACCTTTTGTCGACGGTTTCTAAAACCCAGAAGGCGATTGGGTTTGACAACCTGGCTGAAATCACGAAGCTGTGGGCGAAACACGTGGCGTTGCAGCCGTTTGAAATCACGGGGAGGTTGCTTTCCGGGGGCTTGTACCATGAAAACTCCCAGGTGTCGCTTAACTCGAAGATTGAGCTCTATTTTAACGATATCGAATTTACCCCGATCATGATGCAGGAAAACTACCTCAACACCAGGCCGGCACGCGCAACGAGTGCGCGCGCGCACTTGGAGTTGGTGACGCGCGCGGCAGACTCCATTTCAGAGTCGGACATAGTCAACTCGTTGATCCGCAGCGGCGAGCAGCAGTGGTCGCTCCTTCCATTCCATGCAGTGATGTCGTCAGTGCGTCCTGGTAGCTTTGTTGCTGGCAACGTTACGTCACGCATCAACTTTGCGGGCTGGTTGGGCCAAAACTCGCGCCAGATGAAGTTCACACGCATTCTCCAGGAATTGCAGTATCATACACGCCTTCGCACGTCTACCGACAAGACTCAGTTGCGCTTGGAGTATCTTCCGGCGTTGACCGCAAAACTCACGCATCCGTTGCTCGCAAATGGACTGGCGGGCATCGACGAGGTGATTGAAACGTTGGATCACTACTACCTTTCGAAGGAGGACTGGGACTATTTGATAGAGATGCGCGTGGGTACGAATAACATCTTGAACGGAATTCCGGCCGCAACCAAGTCGGGGTTCACGAGAAAGTACAACTCGATGACCCATCCCGTCGTGATTTATAAGACGGGTAATTCCGTAGCTGCCGCGAGAAGTGCCACCGTGGACTACGAGGATGTTGTGGAGGATGATACGGCCAAGAGTGATAAGGAGGAAGAGGAGGAAAGTGACGACAAGATTGATTTTGCCAAAGACAAGTTGATCAAGCAGGGCAAGCCGAAGAAAAAGGCAGTAAAGGCCAAAAAGGCGGCGAAAAAGGCCAAATAGGATTTGTATATGATTTATGAATCGGTATGGAACCTAGGTGTAGGTGCTTTTGTTAATGGGTGCTGCCGTGGCGAGCTGTGAAGTTAAAATTGGTTGGTTTATTTGTACGTATGTTATGGCGAAGCCAAATCTAAACCGCCCTAGGGTCTAAGCATAGCTAAGTTTGCATATTTTTCCGACCTGGGTTAACTCCAACCTTGAAGTTGAATTTGCAAGTTTAAAGTATTCGAATTTGGGTGATGAAAGTACCTAAAGTAGGGCGTAGCTACGGGCTAACGGGTTTTTTTGGCAATTTGTTGATGAGTCAGAGATCAATTAAAGGTAATCATCGGTGTAGAATAGATAGTTATATTAGGAACTGGACCAGTGTCAAAGGTAAACGGGCTCGATTTGTAATGCTAGGAACTGATACTGGGCTGGTAAATATAAAACTGTTAGATTAACCATTCAAAAATTAAGCCCCATGGTTTTAATTCCACCGGGACATGAATTGCACTAATTTTCACCAAATCACGAATAACAGTATTTATCACTTCCACTCGCTTATTCTAACTTCAAAGCTAATATCCCGATGTCATCTCTGACTAAGCGACTACACTCACCGCATGTACGTGCGTCGTCTCTGCATTAGCCCAGTTCCGATCTGGAATTCATGCATAGGCCGACGCCAGAGGCTACTTCACGTGACGCCATCCTGCGCCAAATTTTCCCTATGCTGTTGCTTTTCGCTTAAGCTTCAGGCTATGGGCTGGGCTAACAAGGCGCCTCTCAACTGCCTCTGGTAGGGGGACTACTACCCACGCACTACAGTGGTTAAAGTGACAGATTGAGACTAGCGAGATATCTGGACATCTCACAAATATCTGGATAGCCGAAGCCATTCAGAGTTCATCGCCATCTAGCACCATCCGATTGTCTTGCCCAAGCCGAAGATATCCAATTTCATCAGAGCTTAATTTGATTCAGCCTACATAGTCAAAGCGGCGTAAAAACTGGAAGAAATACCAAAGCTTGCGATTCAGAGCCCTGATTTGATACCCAGAAAGAGCCCAAACCCCAGTCAGACATTATTTGAGCATACTCTGGTGCCATCATTTACCTGGCATATACCACATGACATCACCTTTTGGCAACATAAGGCCAGACACGAGCGGCAAGCCAAAGCTACCGCCGCTCTCGACGGCTCTCCCTACGCTGTTCCCCAGTGGAAAAGCCCGCCCGCGCCCCAAACCGCTCCTCACGCTCAACTTCCAAAACATCTCACCCGCACCTGCGTCACCCGCATTCCGCGCGCACCCGGTACACGCGCGCCAGACGAGTGACAGCTCGCTCTCGGGCGAGAACGCCTCGCCGAACCTCACGCCGCCCACCTCCAGCAGCGACGAAAAGAACTACACTTACCATGATAACCTCAAGACATATCCGCTGGGACTCCTATTGGCTCTGTCTTCCCAGTCTCTGTTTCCGCTGGCTCCAGATGTGGAAGGCCTAGACGAAGAGGGCTGGCGGCGGGTCGCCCAGACTGGAGCGATTCTCGACCTCGGGACCCTAGGTGAGGGCGCGGGCGGTGCGGTCAGCCGGTGCAAACTCCGTCACGGCTCACTCATCTTTGCGCTCAAGACCATTGTTGCCACTGACCCCTCCACGCAGCGCCAGATCGTCCGCGAGCTCCAGTTCAACAAGACGTGCCACTCGCCGCACATTGTCCGTTATTATGGCACCTTCATCAACGAGCGTGACTCCGTCATCTGCATCGCCATGGAGTATATGGGCGGGCGGTCGCTCGACGCAATCTACAAGCGTGTCAAAGAGTTTGGCGGCCGTATCGGCGAGAAGGTTTTGGGCAAGATAGCCATCTCCGTGCTTGAAGGGTTATCGTATCTCCATGACCGCAAGATCATCCACAGGGACATCAAGCCCCAGAACATCTTGCTCAACGATTCGGGCGAGGTGAAGCTCTGTGACTTTGGGGTTTCGGGCGAGGTGGTCAACTCTCTTGCCAGTACGTTTACCGGAACCTCATACTATATGGCCCCGGAGCGGATTGAGGGGAAACAATACACCGTGACGAGCGACGTCTGGTCGCTTGGGGTGACGTTACTTGAGGTTGCTCAGGGAAGATTCCCGTACTTTGAAAAGGCGGAGGATGACTCGGATAAGACAATTCCGTTGATGCCACTCGAGTTGCTCACGGCCATAATGGAGTTTACGCCACGCTTGGAAGATGAAGCGGAGATCAAGTGGAGCCGGCTGTTTAAATCGTTTATTGCGTACTGTTTGGAGAAGAATCCCGCAAAACGTGCCAGTCCGAAGCAGATGTTGCTGAGTCACCCGTGGGTGGCGGGGCAGCGGGCAAAGGAGGTTGATATGGCAAAGTTTGTCCGGAGGTGCTGGGAGACAGGCTAGTTCAAGGTGAAGGAATTCCCGACTTTGGAAAACTAGTTACAGGTTTTAATAGCCGAAGACTGTTACAAGCCAATTAACAGCTGAAAGATGGATAGACTAGTCCAGGGTGTACTCCCAGGTGCGGCAGCCCCCAAGGGGATATGCTGCTATACAGCCACTGTCAATGGTATCCAACTGGCTGATGGGGAGGGTGACACAACGCCCCCCCCCCCCCCCCCCCCCCCCCCAATGATAAGGAATAAGCTTTGCAAGGAAGGCCGGCTACCTACGGAGGGTATAGCCCTAGAATTCGAGTCCTGGTACTGTTACATGTGCTGGAGTTTTCGGTGGTGTATGACCCTCGGTGCGGAGGTTAACGAGAGCATTATCGGTCTAGATCTCAAGTCGAGCCAACGAGCTCATTATTCCCGTCCCAGAAGTCAGGAACTTAGTCGGTGTAGTGCAAATTAAGTGTGTGTTTGTCAAAACTAACTGGTTTTTTATGGTGATGATCCCAAACCATGAAGGAGGTCGTTACCACCAGTATCGGACTGAGTCTTCGTTTAAGTGAACCTATCATAGTAGATTAATAGTATTTAACTTTTGAGCAAAGGGAGTGGATTTGAGTTGTCTACATAGAAAGCTCCAGGAACTCTAGGTATTTGTCCAAATTATAAACCTGGGGTCCACGCTAATTCATGTGTGGGGGGCCTCATCCCCCAGGCTGAGCAGAATTGCGCATTGTAAAAATTACAAGACGCTCAGGTGGTCTCGTTTACCCTCTTTTGTGCCAAATAGTAGCTGGTGTGCTATAGCTAGTTGAATACAATAGATATTTGACCCATCAAATTGGATTCTTAATGACAAGCGATTGGCAAAATTTAGTTTAAAGGTTGGAATCTCTCAGAACCTGTCCAGCCCCTCGCTCGCATCCGAGAGAGCCCTTTCACGTCACGTGCCCTGTGTCTGCCAGCTTCCGCGCCGCATATTAGTATGTAACCAGGTACAACGTGGCCACTTCAATTACTGCTCAAACATATAAACATGGTTCAATTATCCAAGGAAAAGATCTGGGTCGATGGCTGCTTCGATTTTGCCCATCACGGGCATGCGGGTGCGATGCTCCAGGCAAAACAGCTCGGGAAGGAACTCTTTGTGGGCGTGCACTCGGACGAGGACATTGCCTTCAACAAGGGGCCGGTGGTGATGCACTTGGACGAGCGTGTGTTGGCGGTGGAGGCCTGCAAGTGGTCAAACCATGTGGTTTCCTCGTCCCCGTACGTCACGGATCCACAGGTGATGGACGATTATGGGTGCCAGTACGTTGTGCACGGTGATGACATCACCACGGACGCTTCAGGCGAGGACTGCTACAAGGCAGTGAAGGATATGGGGCGGTTTTTGGTGGTGAAACGCACCCAGGGGATCAGCACGACGGACTTGGTTGGGAGAATGTTGTTGTTTACCAAGAGTCATCATATTGCGAGTCTCAAGGAGCTCCCAGAGAGTAGCGAGGGAAGCTCCTCGGTTGAGGGTAAAGCCATCTTGTCTGACGGGAAATCTTCACTTTCAAATGAGCCTATACATGCACTTTACAGCGCCGAGGTTTTATCCCAATTTAAGAGCTACGCCACCTGCTATGACGGCTTGACCCCCGGCTCTATCGTGGCTTTCGCAACGGCTAAAAATCTCCAGACAGTGATCCAACCATCACCCCAGACTTCGGCCCTCTTGGCTAATGGAATCTACTATACGGACGGTGGGTTTGACTTGTTCAACCCCGGACACATCGAGGCGTTGCGCCTCATTCACCTTCGCGCGCGCGCCGCGGGTTGTGCGGTGGTGGCTGGCGTACACGATGACCGCGCGGTAAACCTGAACAAGGGGATCAACTACCCTATCATGAATGTGGTGGAGCGTGCGTTGTGTGTGTTGCAGTGCGCATACGTGGATGGGATCGTCGTGGGTGCCCCATCTGCGCCAACCAAGGAGTACCTTGGCTTGTTGTCCGCCGTAGGGAGCGTCAAGAAGATCTTCCACGGACCGACTTCCGAGGCCATCCAGGTGGGCAAACAGTTTGTGGACCCGTACCACGATGTGCGCGACTTGGGCTTGAATGAGAAGCTCGGTGAGCATCGCTACAGCGACATCAGCACCGAGGCTATCGTCGAGCGTGTCTTGGTCAACAGACTTGCGTACGAGGAGAGACAGAAGAAGAAGGGCTGGAAGGGTGAGGTCGAGCGGAAGTTGCTCGAGGCCGAGAAAAGGAACTAAGAGACAGGTTGGGGTTTCTGTCTGCAACGCCCATTTATTTCTAGATTATCTTGAAATGGTTTTAGGTATGGCGCTAAGATAGCCTTGGGGTGCAAGGAGAGTATACATCCAGGATGAAGAATTACCTGGTGTTACACCACTCTGTAGTTTGCTTTCCATGCTCTGGCTTAGTTATATTTCTACTATGTTTTTATGGAAACATCTAGCACAAATGACTTATCGACGTCATTATATATGCCCAACGAAAAGGGAGTGGGAGAGGTATCCGGCACTCTATGCTAATGAACTAAACCTAGCTATTTAATTGTATAGATGGGGCTTCCAGCATTAACCTTAACCCATTTCGCGAGGACTGATTCGTAGCATGGTTCCACGATAGATCAATAAAAGAGGTCAATCCCGATCATGGGAAATAGTTATAGCCCCAGACCAAATGTGGTTCATCTAATAAAAAGGTCAATGCCCATATCTAACTACATTGAGAACCCCATTGGTAGTATGCCGGATAACCTTCCGACATGGCATTCATATATCGGATAACATCCACCCCGCAACTTGTCACAATTCTCCTACACCATAGACTCATTCTCGGATCAGCATGCTCCCATTCATCCGTGGTCTCACACCTATCCCAAGGCTCTCTGGGTTCAGATTTCAGTCCACCCAGAACTACTTCCAGCTTTTTCCCAAAACGTTTCCAGGCGGCCGGTTTCCGCCAGCAACCTCGTACAAAGACGTGGACTTGAAGAAATTGCGGAAGGAGTTCAGAGCACTCCAGGCACAACACCATCCGGATATCTTGGGCTCCCTTTCCGATGATACCGTGCTGTCCGAAGCTGCCTCTGAAGACGTCTCTACGTTGCTAAACAAGGCGTATAATACGTTGAAGGAGCCGTTGAGCAGAGCCCAGTACATTATCAAGACAACCATCCCACAGGAGATCCAAATCGACTTGACGAACGATGCAGACCTTGCCAAGAAGATCCTCACAAAAGACAAGACTTTCTTGATGGACGTGTTGGACATCCATGAGAACTTGGAGTGTATTACTAAAGAGGCCGAGTTGGCCGAATTCAAGCGCGAAAACGATACCAGGATGCAAGAGAGCATTGCCAGAATCGACGCCTTCTTCCAGGCAAAGGACTATGAAAGTGCCATTTATGAGTGTGCCAAATTCAAATATTGGTGTAATATTGATGACGCCGTGAGGAACTGGGAAGCTGGAAACTAATCTTACAGCTCGGTAGAGGCACAGATGGTCCATCCATGATCTCTCATCTTACGTACGACATGACGATTTACGCCTAGTATGAGCCCCGGCCATTCTTGTATATATAAAAATAATTTCTAGATTCAAATAAATGAAAATAAAGAACCAAGCAAAAGTATGAAATATTTTAACCGAGGGTTCTAGTTCGGACTCATAGGTGGGTATTTCAATCCTAGAGTCGAGTTACTAGCGGAAGTTGGACTAATGTCTAAATGGCCCGGGTTTACGATAATACCAACAATATTCGATAAGCTAGTATGGTATGTGTCTAATATTAACAATTCAGTGTTAGCGACGAGAAATACGTCGCCGTTGTTGGGTATTGACATGGGTTTTACTGTTGAAGGAGCTAAAGCGGCGCTTGAATATGTAGCTGGCATATATCATACAAGGACTAGGTATAGGAAAAAGGGTTTTATTAAAAAAAAAAAAAAAAAAAAACTATATTGAAAGATAAATTGTATTGTAAGATGCTGTATTGAAAAGAATTGTATAAAAGGACTGGATAGAAGTGAGTGTATTTTAGTTATTAAAGTCTCTCCTTTTCTGGATATAAAATAAACTACACCATGGTGTTCATCAGGTACGCATGGCTTGATCCATTTGAGCTAGTAACTAGATCTTATACTTCCCTCTAAAAATCTACACCATTCACCGGCAATTACCCTTTACAACCTCCAATATTTATACACTCGCTAATCTGAGCTACCTCTACAATAGCAGGTCGTGCGCACCCGGGTTACGCAGCCCTTGAGTCCTACCGATTTGAACAAATGAAAATCAAGTAATTATATGCGCTTTTAATCGATGTCTCCTCTCACCACCGTAATCATTACACAACACTACACAAAATGATTCCATTTGAGGCCTTTCTCCCGTACACCTTGATGGTCGGAGTATGTATAGCCCTTATTTTCAGCCGCTTCGTGCTTCCCATGACATATACTAACAGGAACAGTTTTTGACTGCTGCCGGTACTTGTATGGGTACTTTGCGTGGGCTCGAAACCGGCAAGAGACCAAGAAGAATGGTGTACAGAGGGAACCTCTTTGAACAGCACTTGATGCAGAGAGACTTCAGATTGACTGGGTACTGGAGAGGCCAGTCTCAGGAGCCTACCGCCCCTGAGAGATTCAAGACCTCCTCCACCTGGAACGTCATCGATAAGCGCAGAAGAAGATGGACCTTCAACGGTTACTTCGGTGGCCAACAGTACTAAACTGACCGCTAGGCTGAAAAATGTTTGCATCCATGAGCCTCGCGATAACCCTAGCCTCGACTGGAGTCTGGGTAGCACCGTGTTGTTCTTCCAAAAGTCTGTATGCTGTATGTGTGTTCTTGTACAGTTTTCTGAGGCTTATATACAGTTTTCTGTAACTTGTATACTTTTATTTATTTATTTATGATTTCCTTCGGGCCGAATAAACCATCAGATACGTTTCATTTTCAAGTGCCAGCACACGATCGTATAAGCCATATACGTAGCCAGTCAAACGTCTTACGTACCCGTCTATTCTATTTTCCTGGCTGGGATTAGGAATCCTGTCTCCCAGCTTGATTCGTACCTTCTGGCGCGGTTCATCTACAAGGAACACATATCTGTCAAAATCGTGTCATTAAAAGCAACCAAAACAAAAGAAAAAGATAAAGGTATTAGGGGTAGATGCAGGTAACGACGGAATTACAAATGTGTACAAAAGAATAGAAACCAAGTGACAAAGGGTATTGTCATTGAGGTAACCCCTTTGGGATATTCCCCCCTCCCTCTATCAGCCTGAGAGACCAAAGAAGGATAGTCAGAGGCTCCTTATCTCAATTACGCTCTCATGCTCCGTCTCTTGAAAAAGTCCATCACCTTTCTGGCGGCAGACGCGTCCTTGGTGGAAGCGGTGGACTCGCCAGAAGCAATCCTCGCACTCGAAATAGACGCTCGGGACGGAGCCAGGGAGGCCGAGGGAATGCGTTTCTTTGCTGGGCTAACATTGGGGGCAGATTGCGGCAGAAGCTTCTCGCTATCCAGATTCATAACATTGACGTCACTGGACGGCTCCAACACCTTCCGTGATGCCCGTCTTTCGGGGGTGGTGGCAGGCGGCGACGAGCTGTAGAAGCTCAATAAACTGAACCGGTTCTTCTTCTTGGCCTCCTTGGGGGCGTCGGGCTTGGCTTCCTCCACGCCTCTGTCAGTAGCAGCGGTAGACTTCTGGGACTGAATCTTCAGCGACGCCGGACGTGATCCACCGCGACGGAACACGTCGTCGAGCTGAGCATCGCTCTCCAACAACGTGTTCTCCCCAGAGACCACCATAGTGGTGTCGTCGGACGGGGGCTCGGGGGTGGATCTGGACTTGTATCCAGTCAAACTGACGCCGGGCTGTAAATTCACGTTAATCTCCTTGTTAACCTCAAGGGAGTCCATCTTCTCCTCGATAAAGTGCATCAATGAATTGCGCTTGCTCTCATCCAAGAAAGCGTCGCCTCTGGTCTCGTCCGCGACGATTATGTCGTTGGGTTTGGCCTCATCCAAAACCTCGCTAGGCTTGCTCGGGGTAGTCCTTGGTACCCTCTCTGGGGTTTCGAAACCCTCGGGGATAGCTGACGGCGAGACTTCACGGGCTTTAAACTGGTTCAGAAGCGGAGGAAGCAGTTTAAGGTAGTCAATCGCAAGACTATGGTCGTGAGTGGAAGACGAAGGGTGGTACGAGGTCGGTCTGGGTTTCTTACCCGATGCAGGCAACTTGGAGGATGTCTGCGAGATCTGCGAGCCAGCGGTTTGCGGAGGTGCGGTTGGCAGACTGCGGCGGGTATCGTCGCTGCTAGGGCTTCGGCGGTGTCTCTCCACGATCTTGGCGATGCTCCCGGTGTGTGTGGTAGAGCGTGGAATTGGCGGCAGGGGCATTCTCTGGGTCGAACCGGCCACGACGCCAAGGTTGTTCTCGTGGTCCACCACAGCCTTCAACGCAATGCTAGCAGACGAGTACATGCTCGCGGTGGACGGCCTGTCGCGCTCAAGCGACGACGTAGGCGATCCCCCGGCGTTGTTCGGGGTGCTGGCGGAGAGACCGCTGTTGATCGAGTTTAATGACGGACTTGGTGGGATAACGATGGCATTGGCGACGGAAGCAGAGGTTGTCGGGGCCGAGGGGTTGGAGTACAAGCGGCCAGAGACGTTCTGGGTGGAGTACGACCGCCCGTTGCGGTTCATGACCAACGACGCGGAGCTGGTGCGCTCCACGCCCATAGAGTAGCGCTTGTACGCCTGCTCGCTCGGCTTCAGCTGGTAGCTCTGATCCAACTCCTGGTGTGTGATGGACAAGAGGCCGGCGTATTGGGCCAACCACGGATGGGACTTGATATCGCGCAAGGAGATCCGCTTCCGCGGGTCGGGCACGATGATCCGTCTCAACAAGTCTCTCGCTAGCGGCGACACAAACTCCGGAAACGTCAAGGGCGTCTTGCAGATGTAATGGTATAAGCGCACAATATCCGTGCCATCCTCGTTCTCGGGGTCATCGTCGAACGGCAAGTAGCCGGCGAGCATCGCGTACATGATGACGCCCAACGACCACACGTCTACTTTTGTGCCCTGGTACGGCGACTGGGTCAACACGAGCTCCGGGGCCGCGTAGCACGGCAGGCCGCATGACGTCTTCATTAAGTCGTTCTTGTCCCTATTGAAGGCGTTGACGAAGCCAAAGTCCGACACGATCACGTTCTTGTGCTTGTCGAGCAAAATGTTCTCCAACTTCAAGTCGCGGTGCACGAGGCCCTTAGAGTGCATGTAGTCGATACCGCTCACCATCTGAGCAAAAAGCTTCTTCGCGAGATCCTCCTTCAAGCACTTGTGCGAGAGGATGTAGTCGAAGAGCTCACCGCCCGACGCGTATTCAAGCACAATGCCGATGTACTTGCCGCTCTTCATCACCTCCACAAGCTTGACGATATTGGGGTGGCTGAGTAACTTCAAACTGTTGATTTCGCGATGGATCTTGATCTCCGCCTCCGAGTTTTTTACAATGTTCTCACGCTTGATGAGCTTGATCGCCACCTGCGATGGCTGCTGGCCATCCTTGCGCCAGCCAAGCTTGACCTTGCCGAACTCGCCCTCGCCGAGCGTGGATCCGAGCACGTACGCCCCGAACCTCACCTCGCGATGGATCTTCCGCGGCACGGCAGCCGTGGGTCTGTGTTCTGACTCTGTGTATCCCATGGTTGAGTATGGGGTACCGATGAACTTTTTAAGGTGGCTTGGCTATTTCCGGAGTTATTCGGGTGTACAAGAATCTGGGATTGGGTAGGCGACTATACAGGTCTGTTCGTTCGCAGATCTGGCGTTAAGAGGCAAGTACCTTGTTGATGGCAATGGTGCTTGCTAGAAACAGATAATATCTTGGGGAGCCCTTGGGCGTAAGGAGATATGTGGGAAAGACTTCGGCGGGTAAGCCGTGGGCGCGTAGATCTTTGGAAAGCCTTTAATGGATGTAAGGCTGGTTCCAGTTTCTCGGATATATTTACGATACCCTGGGATAAAGAATGGTAAGGGTGGTTGGCAATGAAAGTGGCGCGGCAGTCCCGTTGTGTTGCAAGTCTAGTCTCTATTGTACTGTCGGGTCTGTTTTGCGGGCGTGAGATCGGGCTGTACTGCGACGTCACAACAAAACAAGCGGGAGAAAAAAATATATATAAACACGTGAGCGTTATGGAGCACAGCTTGCAGGGTACACAGGAATTTCACAAGTGTGGCGGCGTTCAGCTGGGGAAACCAAACAAGACAGTAACAATGCCAGAATGACGCTGGATGGGTGGGCACGAAGGAACGTGTCACGTAAACAAGTACACCGTATCACAAGCTCGACACGAGCTTTAAGGCCAAAACAGGCTGTGCTATATATAGCGGGAGCATGCAGGCTAGAAGCCCTGTGCGCGCCTTGCATCAACCGTGTTGTTGTCTAGACGAAAACAGGAAAAAGGCCCACCATGCAGCCACTTTGGGCTAGATGGGCAGAGTCTGTATAACACAGCCGCATGAGTGTCCGTACCTCTGGATATCCCACATTCGTGGAGTTGGCTTGGTGGGGTCGGTCTTGCCGGGTCAAACCGTTTGCAAAGCCCTGAACCCCATGGGTGGGATTTGCTATGCCTGAATACACACGCCGTAGGCATTGGTCTTTATTACTCTCTTACTGATGACTTGCCTATGCGTGTATCGCTGTCCAAAGCAGAATCTCACGACGAATGGAGACGGGTTAGGCTTCCTTCCGTGCGCGGTGTCTTAGGCGATAGCAACCTTAGCGAGAATAATGATTAGTGAATGGTGTTTCATTCACGTAGCTAGTTACCGGGTGTGACCTCTGGGTAGGATCCACATAACAATGACATACATGCTTGGTAACTCTAAAGTTGCATCATGTTATACTCCTTAGCTTTTGCTTTTCGTAATCAATCTTCGTTTAATGTCGGCCAAGCATTGATCCTGTAGATCGATTATATGGGCTGGTGATTTAGATTGCTTAAAGAGTAAGCGCTTCATACCAGTCCTGGAACAAAGGTTCCAGTACATCCTCTGACAGCGGAGTAGACATAGATGGTTTTAAAGGAAACTTAAAATCTTCTAAACAACCGGTACTATATGTGCTTATCGGTGGTTTGCTCTCTATACTATCACATACACCCCGAGATATCTTTGGTGCAAACCAACCATTTGACCTGTGCACAGGGGAAATTGCTGAAAAACGTTGATAATTGGGCACCTTGGCTGATCGTTTAGGGCTGGTATCTGATGGTTGAGGCTCTGCTTAGGACACGTCTCATTGAAAGGAAAAATTATACAAGCTGTCACAAATTATCTTTAATCGATGATGGGCCATACTTTAGGAGAGTCGTGCAAATGGCACCCTGGTCGTGCTTCTGATCTACGAACACATACAACTTAGCCTTCAGTTGTGAAGGAGACTTTAAAGTTGCCAGGGGGGTCCCCTTATCCGCCTCCCATCAAGCTTTTGCATAACCACAGGTATTTCGTTTCCGCAATATTCAGCTACATGTCACTTTGGGCGGTGCTTTTACTCCCTTCGGTGGAACTTAGCATGAAAAGTACCTTCCTATAAGCGGTAGCAACTCCAATCTGCTATTTTAATAAAACACTTTGTTCCCTTGGTTTGTACCTGGTGTTTTCTCTGTCCATCGCTGCCAAAACTATGGTATCGGCATATGCACTGCACTTACTGCCTGTCAGTTTTTCCGTTCAGTCCGCCGAAATAAACCGGTCCCGAGATGGCGGACTCCGCTTCTCAGTACGCGGCATGGATGAACCTGGCATTCCCAAGAATAAACGCTTTCACCGATACATTCTAGTTCGTATGCTTAGGACCTAAACCCCTAATGAACATCATTTCTCTCGCTATAAATCGGACGAGTCACTATGGTTGTGAGCATTTTTGGTAGTGCGACGCCCAGCCTTGGGAAGGTACTGGAAGGTTTTTTTTTCTCTGGGCTGAAAAATTCGAGGGTGGGCATCCGACGGCGACCCCGAATCACCCCCGCCCTTGCATTTAAACCGTCTAGTTTATCTTTGAGCGCTTCAACCTTGCCTCTTTCCTTTTCATATACAACCCTTTCCAGAATGCAAACCTCTTTATTCGCCTCTATTGCTAGAACTGCTATTCGTCAAGCCGCCGTTCGTCAAGCTGCCATCCGCCCGGTCACCGTCGCCCCAGCTTTCCGTGCCTTCGGCTCTGCCCGTTTCTACTCTGAAAAGGCCGCCGAAGAAGTTAAACCAGAAGAAACCTTGTCTGAAGCCGAGATCCAGTTCAATGCGTTGCAAGAAAAGTACGCTGCCAAGGACAAGGAAGCCGCCGAGATGAAGAATAACTACATCAGAGCCATTGCTGATTTCAGAAACTTGCAGGAAACCACCAAGAGAGAAATCCAAAAGGCCAAGGACTTTGCCTTGCAGAAGTTTGCCAAAGAGTTGATCGAGACCATCGACAACTTCGGCCACGCCTTGAACGCCGTCAAGCCAGAAATTTTGGAGGCCAACAAGGAAGTTAAGGACTTGTACGACGGTGTCAAGATGACCAGGGACATTTTTGTCAAGACCATGAGCAAACACGGTATCGAGGAGATCAATCCAATCGGCGAACCATTCGACCCAAACATGCACGAAGCCACCTTCGAGATCCCACAGCCAGACAAGGAGCCAGGTACCGTCTTCCACGTGCAGCAGTCAGGTTACGTCTTGAACTCCAGAGTCTTGAGAGCTGCCAAGGTGGGTATTGTCAAGGACGCATAAGCCTGACAACATCCAAAATGAAGCCGTTCTTTCCTTATGGCGCTGTCGACTCCCACATTTTCTGGCAGTGCGCTTAATGATACATCATGATGAGAGTTTTGCTTCAGTTTTTTTATATGATAACGAAAACTACGTGTATATTTCCATTCCCTTTTGTCTTTTATCTTTTTTTTTTTTTTCCCTCTCTTTGGAGGATCCATCGCAACCTGTAAATATAAAGTATATCGTGTTATCTGTGTAGGGCTGGGTTTATATCTCTGACATAATATTGGCTTTCGTCAAAGTATAAGATCCGAGATGATGTTGGTTGTGCTAATGAGATATTTAAGTGCGGTAATAACCTTGGGTGGTTTGTCCTTTTATTGTATACTCCATAACCATGAATTGTTTGTAATACTCTGTTGAATTACTAATTTTTTTCCTATATGAAACTGTAGGGAGGAAGGGTACTTCAGAGGAAAGATACATTAAGGCAACAGGTGCGATCTCTTCGGCATAGCACCAACGAAAAATCGAATATGCGCAAAATAAAGCGTGCCTAAATGTGTCAGTGTATTTCTGGGCTGTATCCATCCACTCGCTCTATACATACGGCTTAATATTTAGCTATTCTCAGATATATCGTTCTTTTAAAGATGATATTAATCAAAGGGATTGATATAAGGATTAGTACTATATACTTGTCCGGATTAAGTGTAAAAATAATTATATAAATTTAAATACCATCTGATGTGTATGTTCATATTATGAGCAGCAGTGAAAACTTATATCATTATTAAAATATATAGGATTATATACATAAAAATATTTATATAAGATTATATAGATAAAAATACGTATATACAATATTTATACATACTGGTGGGACATATTTAGGATATCTTACTAAAAACCTTGGTATTTCATACCTATACGTGTATAACAAGAAAATGCCAAGTTACAGACACAATTGGAGCAAAAAGCATAGGTTTAGCTGTATAGCAATATATACTTCTCACGTATGCCCCTGTAGCTTTCACCTGCATATTACCTCTTGTTCACCACTACGAAGCAAAGCTACGCACTACCCTATACATGCATACCGTATGCGTTTATGCTAGCCATTTCGGTCCTGGTAAGAGCATAAACGGATAACCATGCATATAGGAGCATCAGACCCTAAAGACGTTCAATGGAGCATATATTTTTCACCTAGATATCTCCGGGACAAAAATCTCCCTGTCTAGCTATTCGCATATATAGCTCGAGAAAAACCCACATACCTTCAAGAGCCTCCTCGTTAAGCCATGACCACCGAGCTCATTGAAATCACAACTGCCAGTTTACCAGCGACCTCGAGAATGCCGAGAATCCTCACCATCGCTGGGTCGGATTCCTCGGGTGGGGCTGGTATCGAAGCCGATTTGAAAACCTTTTCTGCACACGGCTGCTACGGGCTCACTTGCATGAGCGTGCTCACCGCCCAGAACACCGAAGGGGTCTACGACGTCCATTCGGTTCCAGAGGAGTTCATCGCCCAAGCGTTGGATGCCAATCTCGATGACATAGACATTGACGTTATTAAAACTGGGGTTTTGACGGTTCCGGCTGTCTACGCCTTGAAGCAGGCCTTGGTGAAGCACAACTTTCGCCCCAAGCCTTTGATCATAGACCCCGTCATGGTGAGCACGTCTGGCTACGCCTTATCCGAGTCTGAGTGCTTGAAAGTCTGCATTGACGAACTTTTCCCACTCGCCACTATTGTAACCCCAAACATCGAGGAAGCATACAAGATTCTCACCGCTTTTGGCGAGGAGCCATCCGAAAAGACCCTTACGTCCTTTGAAGAATTGAAAGCCATGGCCTTGAGAATCCACCAGTTGACCAAGTGTGCGGTGGTGTTGCTCAAGGGTGGCCACTCCCCATGGGCCCACCAGCAGGGGAGTGGCTCCAGATACATCACCGATGTGTTGTACGAGAGCACTACCAACCAGTTCACCGTTTACAAGTCTGACTATATCGAGACCACCAACTTGCATGGTACAGGCTGCACTTTGTCTTCCGCAATCAGCTCCCAGCTTGCCCACGGGGTCGAGACCAAGGAGGCTATCGCCGCAGCAATTAAATATGTCCATAATGCTGTCTTGACGGCCGATTTGACGATCGGAGGTGGCAATGGCCCCTTGAACCACTTGTTCAACGTTTCTACCGCTGGCATGGCGGCTACAGCGGCAACTCTGGACACAGAAGCGTTCACCGAGGGTACGGTTTTGTCCTCCTTGCTCACCCATCCAAAGGTTTCCCTGGTGTGGAAGGAGTATATCAACCACGATTTTGTTCGCCAGGTAGCTAGCCGCACCTTACCGGAGGCCTCTTTCGTCTACTTTTTGAGACAGGACTACGTGTACTTGATTAGCTACGCCCAGGTGCATGCCTTGGCCGCTAGTTTGGCTCCAACCATGGAAATCATGTTGAATGAGACCAGAACGATCACCAACATTTCTGTAGAAATGGATAGGCACACCGCCAAGTTGACCGCCAGAGGGATTACAGACTACAAGGATATCAGGGCCGGCCCAGCGTGCACCAACTACCTTAACTACTTCCGAAACATCGCCCGCGACGGAGAGTGGGCCGATATCCACCTTGCGCTTGCCCCGTGCTTGTTTGGATACGGCTATGCAGGTAAATGGGGAATGAAGCTCAACAAGGCGACCGACGAAGCGGACGAGTACTACCAGTGGTTGCAGGACTACGTCTCACCGTGGTTTATGGAAGCCTGTGCCAAGGGCCAGCAGACGATTGAGGAGTGTTTTGCCAGAGCATCGCCGGAAACGATTGAGCGCTACGTTGGAATCTTTGCGGATGTCTGCCAATTGGAAGTTGACTTCTGGAGTGAGGCACTTGCTGCTGCCACCGTTCAACACGACGCAGAATAAAATGTATAGCTTACACATGAGACTTAATCGAACACTATGGGTTTACAGACCCAAATAACATATCAGCAGTGTAAAATAACGCCGCCGACAACGAGGGTGTATTTTTTTGGTTCAGTATAGTCTCAGTATAGCCCCAGTATAGCCTCAGTATAGCCTCAGTTCTCTCACCGATTAGACACATCCCAAAACTTCTAGATGCGCGTTTTTCACCGAAACATACATAATACCTTGCTATTCCATGTATATCGCCTCTTTTCATAGGCTCCAGTAAATGCACGAAAGAGGCCCTTAAAAATCCGCCAGTCCTGTGTCGTATGCATATGGCTAAAGATGAGCCGCATCTCTTATGCAGCCCCTCCATCATCTACTCCTGATAAGTGCATGGACCCGGAAGCGCATACTCCATGTAGACAGCCGAAAACCCTCCTCTCTCCGCCGACCATAAAAGGGCGACCCACAATTTACATCTGCCAAACAGGATAAAATATACCAAATACAATGCAGTTCGATAAGTCGAAAGTGGACTACTCCCTCTACTTGGTGACCTGCGCGGAATTGATTCCGGAGGGGATCGACTTCCTCGACCAGGTGCGTGCAGCCATCGCCAGTGGGGTCACTATCCTCCAGCTTCGCGAGAAGAATCTCGACACCAGAGCGTTTATCGCTAGAGCCAGGGCGGTGCACGAGCTCACCCAAGAGGCTAACATTCCCCTTATCATCAACGACCGTGTGGACGTTGCGCTTGCAGTGGACGCCGAGGGTGTGCATGTCGGCCAGGACGACATGCCGGCCGACGTGGTGAGGCAGTTGATCGGAGACGATAAGATCATCGGTGTCAGCTGCGATAAACCAAATGTCACCAGAGTGGCTATTGCCCATAGGGTGGATTACATTGGTATTGGCCCGGTTTTCGATACCAACACTAAAAAGTTGACCAAGATCCCGGTGGGTCCGTCGGGGGTTCGCGAGGTTTTGGAATGCTTAAGGGAGGAGGGTGGAATGAATGTCAAATCCGTGATTATTGGCGGAATCAACCACGGCAACATCCAAAGGGTCATGTACACCACCACCGTGCCTGGTAAGGCCTGCGACGGTGCTGCTGTTGTATCGTGCATCCTAGCCACGACAGAGTGCGCCAAAGCTACAAGAGAGTTGTGCAGGCTTATCAAGGAAAAACCGGCCCCAGCTGCCATCTCCACCAATACCGAGACCGCAATGTTGATGGAATCGAGCTGTCGCGCAAAGCTCATGGCCACGTCTCCCATGGTCCACCACATCACTAACGGAGTGGCCAAGAACTTCCAAGCCAACGTCACCTTGGCCGTTGGGGCCTCTCCGATCATGTCTGAATGTGCCGAGGAGTATTTAGAGTTGGCCGCGGTGCCAAATACCGCATTGGTGCTCAACACCGGCACCATCACCCAGGAGAGCATCAGTTTGTACACGCATGCGATTGCGTGCTACAACAGGACCGGCGCCCCAATCATCTACGACCCAGTAGGCGCTGGTGCCACCTCTATCCGCCGCGACACCGTCCACCGTCTTTTGAACACCGGGTTGTTCACTGTTATCAAGGGGAACGTGGGTGAGATTTTGGCCGCGGCCGCTGCCACCACTACTGGCAGCCTAGCCACCGGTGAGCTGCATATGCGTGGCGTCGATAGCATTGCGTCTATGAGCACACCGAACGTTATTTTGGTGGCCAAGAAGCTCGCTCTCGCCAACAGAGCCATCGTGGTGGTTACCGGTACCGAGGATATCATTGTCGATGGATGGAACAATGGAGAGTATCTGTTGCCCCAATCAACCCCATCCCAGGCCGCGCGTGTGGTGAGGGGTGGTCATCCACTTATGGGGAAGGTTACCGCCTCTGGGTGTTCTTTGGGCTCCGTCATCGCTGCCTTCGTTGCTGCCAACCCGGGTAACGCGTTTGAAGCTACCGTCACGGCTGTGTCGTTATACAAGTCTGCCGGTTACTTTGCCGGTGTCAAGGCTGAGAAGAGGGGCGAAGGGTCCGGTTCGTTCTTGGCGTATTTTGTGGATTCCTTGTACCATTTGACTGACGGGTTGGCGCCTGACGCTCCCAACACTAAAGTTATGAGTATGTAGACTTTATATAGGATTAATACCTACGGTGTACACCATGCGAGCGATAAAGGAAAGTGTTAGCGTCTGAAGGGTACGTGCTGCAGGTAAACGGAAGTGTAAGGGCTGGGGTGACTGCAGTTACGGAAGTAGAGATATCCGATTATGTCTGAGAGAGATTCATCATTTGCTCCGTTTTCGAAGCTTGTATGCCCCTCACTGCCTAGGATAACCCAAAACCCCAGACAAACAAGTAGCTTGCAGGAGGAAATCCACAACTGGTAATACCACAATAGTTACAAAAGTGTTTATTTAAATGAATAAGGAACTAGAAATATAATAAGACAACCGGGAGAGAGTCATATACGCTATATTATATACTCTCTCTACCTCAGCAGTGGCAAAAATCAGAGAACGTTAAGTACATTTAGATGTTGGATGGGTAGAGGAAAACTCTGACGGAAGCACCGAAGGTCTTAGCTGGCAAGTTCTTTCTGAAGTTGGCTCTGATGACACCGGAGTTACCGTGAGTTCTAGAAACCTTACCCCAGATGACTCTGATCTTAGAACCTCTGATTTCCTTAGAGGCTCTGTAGACGTAAGCGATCTTCTTACCCAAGTAGAACTTAGCTTCTTCAGTGTTGGTGACACCTTCGATCTGGATCAAAGAAACGTTTGGGTTGTTAACACTCTTAGAACGTTGGTAGGAGATGTGCTTACCCTTAACGTATACTAGAAGGGGTGTTAGTAAAAGGTTTCCGAAAGGAGACGGATGTTTATATTGAGCAAATGGCAGAAGAAGTGAAGGGGAAATGGATGTTTGCATAACTGTGATTGGACGTTTCGAGTTCGAATAGCCCATTTGGGCACCTACGCCATCAGATATGGCTATATCTGATAGCTCGTAGTGGTTTTGGAATGGGACTTTTCATCTCTGACGGTTTCAGTGGGATCCGCTTGGCTTGGCTTGGGTAGCTTGGTTGGGTCAAGTCGGTTGTGAATTTTCGGTCCCACCCCATCCGCCACTGCTTTCTTCAACTGTGCTCAATATCGACATTTCCGGGTTCATTTGGTTGACAACATACATCTATGTGATTCAGCCATTGTTACTTGTAGTGATGTTTATGGTTAACAGGTCTAGGGGGTGTGAATATAGAGGACCGTTTTTTTCAATGTATTTTTTGGGTCTCCTCAACCGGGTCTGCCTCCTAATTGAGACGCCGATGGCTCACTCTGCCCTACTGCGAAAACTTTCTCACAGGCAGGCTTGCCGAGTGCTAGTGCTGGAACAAAGGTAGTGCTTGCCTATTCTCAGAGAGGAAGCAAGACTGAGTGAAAGACACGGAACAGAGACACTGGGGCTGGGAAAGAGAAATTGGCTGGCACCTACATGCCGGACATGCTAGAGGGAGAAGATTTTGGAAAGTTTCGCGCGCAGGACAGACAGCTTAGATAGGCGCACGGATGGTTGGCAGGGATACCGCATGTACGCGCATTTTTTTTTTAGTTTTCGCTGTAAATTTGTGACTGCGAAAAGCCTTTGCCACGCCAGCGGCGTTCTTAGATCATGCCAGCCCTATAACCATACACGTGATGAATCATACAGTATGTGCTAGCTACACTGTCACCCATCGAGCAGTATAAAAGAGCCCCCGTCCTATGCCCTTTTTCCAACGGTTTAGAATTTTCCTTTCTTTGTCGACGTACTTCATAGGATCATTTCTATAGTTTACGTCCCTCTTTGACTCTTCAAAAGAGCCATTGAATCCAACTTGGTTGATGAGGTAGATACCTTTGTACCCTAGAGTGAGAAAGTTTTAGCTTGTCTGTGATCCTTAGCGGTCCGGTCATCTACAAATATTTTGCCTTTCGTTTGTGTGCTGGAGCTTGCTCCTTCACCAGAAAGGAGCGATGATCTTGACCCTTTCCCGTCTGCTTCTTCGGGAGTGACGAGCTTGGGTGGGTACAAATGGCTGTCTGACAAGTTATCTACCAATCGACAGCTGTTTTGCAGCTGTTGACTGGTAGATTGACGATGTCTTGCTCCCTGGATTAGGTCGACCATCTGTATACATAGTTTTAATCAATTTTCTATCAACTTGACCGTAGCTGCCTGCTGCTTAATTATCCGTTTCTTCAACATCTTGAACATGTCAGAAAATACAGCGTTCTGTAGCGCAGAAATTTTTTCCAACTTCATGCAAGTAAAAACCTTATTCACGTTGACGTACTTAAGGTTTCGCCTGGGAAACTAACTAGCTCAGGAAATCTCTCCAAGTCCTAAGGGTATCATTTGCGCCCCCTTGTCGTCCGATCACATATACCATGCGTAACAAAGCAACGCTCTAGCGCTTATGTTCTAGTTCTAAAGGCCGGCCTTGATTTAACCGACTGGTAACAAGATGCATGCGTAGGCTTAATTAGCCCCCCTACTTATCACGGGGTCATATACCAAGCTAGAACCACAAGATGCCGTCTATAAGTCCACGATAACGACACTGTAGATATTCTGTCCAGCATTCCGCTCCGCTTAAAATTTGATTTGCCAAGAGACTATATTTAGCGACTCCTACTCCTGGGCTCGGATTAAGTCCTTGGCCTGTGCAGGACAGCGACAACTTTTCGCGCACAGAATTATTAACACGCGTCCCCACGCGCGCATTTTTCCTGACATGGAACGTTTACATCTAAGCCGTTTTGTTCTCTTCCTGGTTTCCACCCCAAGAGACTACATCAGTATTACAAGATGATATTTTCTCCGCGCAAGGCACGTTTCACGATCGCTACGGTGATTCTTTTTGCCTTATTTATCTTCTTCTTCTCCAAGATTGGCAACAGCGGCGAGGATATTTCCAAAGCCACCACTGCAAAGGCCTTCCAGAACGTGGGCGGTCCACCCCCACCATCCCCACCACCAGCCGCTAAGCAACCAGATATCAAGGAGCCAAATGTCCCGGTCCCACCGCCAAAGGAGGACGCCGTGATCGACCCTAAGTTTGTTGATACCGAAAAGGCTGCGGATGCCATCAAGAAGCCGATTGCTGAGGCCGAAGCCGCCAAGAAGCCGGTTACCGACGCGAAGAAGCCGGTTGCCGACGCGAAGAAGGCTGCTGACCCCGACGCCTGTTCCGAATCTGAATTTGTTGTGATGATTGATGCTGGGTCCACCGGTTCGCGCGTGCACGTCTACGAGTTCAACACTTGTGTATCCCCACCAAAGTTGTTGCGTGAGGAGTTCAAGATGATGAATCCAGGCTTATCCTCTTTTGACACAGACGCTACCGGGGCTGCGGCTTCCTTGGACCCATTGTTGGAGATTGCCTTACACACCGTTCCAGTTTCCAAGCATAGCTGTACTCCAATCGCCGTCAAGGCCACTGCGGGTCTCAGATTGCTCGGTGATGCCAAGTCCAGCAAGATTCTCGCGGCGGTGCGCAAGCACTTGGAGGACGATTATCCGTTCGCGGTGGTCGAGGGTGACGGTATATCCATCATGGAGGGTTCCAACGAAGGGGTTTACGCCTGGATCACCGCTAATTATTTATTAGGCAACATCGGGGGTAAGGGCAAGTCCGCTACCGCCGCTGTGTTTGACTTGGGTGGTGGCTCTACCCAGATCGTGTTCCAGCCGCAATTCCCAGTGAACGAGAAGATGGTTGACGGTGAACACAAGTTTGACATTTCCTTCGGAGGCACCGACTTCAACTTGTACCAGTTCTCCCACTTGGGGTACGGTTTAATGCAAGGTCGCGACAAGATCAACAGTTTGCTTATCAATGACAACTTGGCCTCCAATGCCGAACTTGCTGCCTCCAAGGTTGACCAAGGAGCGGACATCAAGACCATCAAGGGTGCTGTTACCTTGAACAACCCGTGCATCCCACCGGGCGTGACCGCCGAGAATGTCAAGGTCACCATGCCTAACAAGGATGTCTACGTGGTCAACTTCCAGGGCCCGGCCACCGCTGCTGGCAGCCAATGTAGCAAGTTGGCGGAGAGCATCTTGAACAAGGACTCTGCCTGCACCGTCCAGCCGTGTTCCTTCAACGGTGCGCACCAGCCTTCGTTGACCAAGACCTTCCAGGCGACCAGTGACATGTACGTGTTCTCCTACTTCTACGACCGCACCAACTCGTTCTTGCCTTCCTCCTTCACCTTAAAAGACTTGCAGGACTTGACCGAGACCATCTGCTCCGGTGATGCCAGTAAGATGTCCTCTTTCACCCACGACGCCATCAAGGAATTACAGGACGAGCCACAGTGGTGCTTGGACTTAACCTTCATGGTTTCCTTGTTGCACACAGGCTACGACATTCCGTTGGAGCGCGAATTAAAGACCGCCAAAAAGATCGCCGACAACGAGCTCGGCTGGTGTTTGGGTGCCTCCTTGCCATTGTTGGACAAGAAGGCCGGTGGCTGGACTTGCAGGGTCACCGAGGTGACCGAATAAGCATAACATGCAAAATGACCAAGAGCTCACGGTAACGGAAACCGGAGGGTCTCGTCTCCCAGTCTCTTCATGTTTGCCCATAGAGTGGACGTGTACAATTTATTTCATGTTACATCGAGGCTGTGGTCTGTAGATCGTGAAGAGGGGTAAACTGGAGAAGAATGTCTAGTAATTGCAGTATATACTTTTCTGAGAAGTATGTGTTTATTGGATGATATCAGTCCACGCCTAGAATACTAATACTCCCGAAACTTGAGAAAACAAGTAATTGTAAACCGGGGGAAGTAGCACTCGGCGCTTTCGGGGACCCCGGGTTGAAATTAAATATGGAGCTTTGAAGAGGACGGAAGCTGCTGCTCTTCTTCACCTAAGATTATTTGGCCATGCATATACCTGCTACGCGACAACCGAAAAATCTCTCGAGATGTAAATCAGAGTTAAAAGGGTGCTACTCTGAAAGCACCAGAGAAGGGCTAGACATGTCCCTTTACCCTAAGGATATTTTATTCGTAGTTTTCCCTATTGCTTGTAGCCGTAAATATTTAATATTACCCACTACAGACTGCCTAACCAGTAACACCCAACAGTACATAAAAGATCTCCAAGCTATCTTATGGACCGGCCGCTTATAGGCTCTGGGCAAATATCTCTGTGCTTCAACCTTTCTCCCGATGATCTTTCTCCCGATACCCGCTCTTCCACCGTGATCGGACAGATATCCGAACAAAAGGGAAAATAGCCTTGAAACTACCCGATACAGCAATATGCCTGTCAGAACTGACGTATAAGATAGCACTCTGCTCCCTCCCCCCAGAGGGACCTAGAGTGGATGACCACGGAAAAGTGAGCAGGCGTATGGTAAATACACGTGCATCGCCATATAAGCCCCCACCCTGTACGTTTAATAGATATCTAATCCATATCAATTATACAATCCATTTCTGGTTGTATATTAACCGAGTAAGATCGTATTATCCGGACTAGCGATATTATTGGGCTTAAAGACGCATAACCCCTACCATCCTCCTGTGAGGTTTGCGGCGGAAACCCGAGAGCCTCTGCGGTCCCGGGTTCCGAAGCGATTAGTAAGGCGACGCCCGCCCCGATAAGCTCCACACTGAAAAAATAGCTGCAAGCCGAAAATTTAGTCTCGGGCTCCTCGGACTATTGACGCCCTGACTCTTATTCTAGCCCCCCTCGTACCCCTATTTTTCTTACCGCCGCCAACCGGCAGAATCTACTCGAGTTACAAGACAACCACCGCTTATATTTTGTCCGCTCCGTCAAGCTGAATTGCTGCATCGACGCCACGTACCTACGCCGCTTGCTTTCTTGCCACCCATACCAAGGCTGCTATAATTCGTCAACCCACTAGTGCATTACCGACACACCCGATCTTCACCTGTCGCATACCTCACGCTTGTTTAACAATGTCTCATTCAAGGCAGCTGTCACATCTCAGCTTCAACGCGCCCGGGGTGCCGATCCCCACCACCAAGAAAGACGGCTACATCATCCACAACAGCTTGTTCTGCGAGACGCCATCGTCTCCTGGGTCATATGCCACATCGCCGATGGCTCTGTCGATGAACATTGCGATTTCGGCCGCACCACCGCGCATGCGCACGCCGGACTTGGCAGCGCCGGACGCGACGTTGACTAAGCTCGGTTCCGGATACCTCAACTCGGTCAAGTCGCACGCGCGTCTCGCACATACCGCCAACGGCGTGCGCAAGCTCGCAAAGAACTTGTCGCGCGCGACGATCGAGGTTGACGTGAAGAACATCATCATCGTCACGAAGCACCACGACGAGCTGCTCATCTACTTGACGCGCGAAGTCGCGGAGTGGCTCTTGCGCCAGAAGCTGGACTTGGACGTTTACGTGGACCGCGGATTCCAAAAGTCGAAGCGTTTCGACGCCGCGGGAATCATCCATGACTACCCTGCGGGGGAGGGCCGTTTGAAGTTCTGGACCAAAGAGCTCACGCTCCTCTGCCCCGAGAAGTTTGATTTGGTGATTTCCCTCGGTGGGGATGGCACCGTGCTTTACATCTCTGCCCTTTTCCAGCGAATTGTTCCACCTGTGATCTGTTTCTCGCTTGGCTCGCTTGGCTTTCTCACTAATTTCAAGTTTGAGCAGTTTCGCGAGAGTTTACAGCGGGTATTCGACAAAGGAGTGAAGGCGATGCTTCGGATGCGGTTTACGGCTCGGGTCTACAAGGCTGACGGCACGTTTATGTGCGAAAACCAAATCTTGAACGAGTTGGTGGTCGACAGGGGCCCCAGTCCGTTTGTGTCGATGCTTGAAATCTACGGAAACGGTGACTTGCTCACCGTGGCCCAGGCGGATGGGGTCATTGTGGCCACTCCCACAGGCTCTACTGCCTACTCGTTATCTGCGGGAGGTAGTTTAGTCCATCCCGGCGTTTCCGCCATCAGCATCACCCCCATTTGCCCCCACACGTTGTCCTTCCGCCCGATCCTCCTTCCCGATAGCATGACGCTCAAGGTCAAGTTACCTGCCCGCTCGCGCTCTACCGCGTGGGCATCCTTCGATGGTCGTGCACGCGTCGAGTTGAAGAAGGGCGACTACGTGATGGTCAAGGCGTCGCTATACCCATTCCCCACAATCGTGGCCTCCAACACTGAATTCATCGATAGCGTCAGTCGTACGTTGAACTGGAATGTCCGCGAACAGCAGAAGCCGTTTGTGCACATGTTGAGCGAGAAAAACCAAAAGTCATATCACAATTCGAAGAAGGAGGTGAAGAAGGAGGTGGGCTCCATTGAAAATGAGTCGGATAGTGATGATGAGTACATCTTTTCCAGCCAGTAGGGCACGAGAATGCTGCCCAATCCACATCCGGGAGGCCTTTAGGGAGTTTAGATTGTATGATAGATTTCCTGCAGGTGTGTGCCCATTCTATTCAGCAATAGTATGATGAAGATGCCCCGTAGAATTTTCTGTAGAATTTTCTCTCGGTGGGCTAGACATCGTTAATGCTACACGAGGTGCCAATGTTAGGCCCGGGGTGCTGAGCATTGGCCCAACAAAAGAATGAATTCAAACGGTTATGGAATGTCCTCAGACACTATAGTTGTTTTCCGGATGGGCCGTAGTGTGATCCGCGTGATATGATTAGGATTTTCATCTATGGGTAATCGGAAACCTCTGGCATTTTAATATTGGAACAGTAAAAGCTCTGTCTCCATAGTGCTAGCACCCAACATTTATGAAGACCCTCATTTTCAAACTAATACCCAAGCTTTCCAATCTATACGGATTGAAACATATACTGCAGCAATGCGTCTGACAAACTTCATATTCCATCTATTTTTTGTTAGCACATCACGTGTGGTCGATCAGACTCGCTAGCGGAGTAGAAGCTTGGCATCTGTTGGAAAGGGACGCCAAATATCCAGCTGGTTATTTCGGAAGGTTATAACGGGCAATGCAGTGAAAAGTCCATTGAGGTTTTACGTTTCTAGTGGATTAAGCAACGGTACTTGTGGTCCGCTCTGTCTCACTTTAGGCTTATAGCCTAACCCTACTCCGACGATGCATGCGTAGCAATAATGTATCAAGCGGCAGCACCGGGTACCCTCTGTTCGAATCCCATTCATCTTAAAATCTCGCCAGTTCAAATATTAGTTAGAGTTTTGTCTTGCATCACAAACTACTTACACACATGCTTGCTTATAGTCGACCATCGGCACAAAAACCATTCATCTGTATCTTGTGCGTCATGATTTTCTGAGACACATTCTGGACTCTTAACTTCGCTAGAAGAGGCATCTCGTCCTCCGATAAAGGTGAATTTATACTGACTTATAGCTGATACTTTTTTTGAGTAAATTAGCTGAAATAAAAACTATAAGAACGGGAAAATCCAGTTTTATCTGAAACAGATATGCAGCTAGCTCAAAGCTCCTAACAATGAATACGAGCGATCTTAACTCCCCCCAGCATCCCCAGGGGAGGGATACAGATTATGAAGCTATAAGGGCTCCATTCAACTTTACCCCTCAAGAATACACTACTGACTTTGGTGCTTTCGCAAAGAAATCAGCACACCGAAGATCGGCCTTTTCGTTCCCAAATGGAAGACATGCTATTTCGGTAGGGCCAGCCGATCGAGATTACACCGGTTCGGAATCGACTGAAGCACCCATACGTTTAAATCCCCCAGTTTCTAGCGCATCTACATCACCAAACTCCTCTATAAGCTCAGCCTCGCCAAGCCAGGTACCTGCCGATTATGCGCCTCCACTCATTGACCTCGATATGGTCTGGAATTCACAGATTCCTCGTCCATACACACAACAGATCTAAGCAGGCACCGTACAAGGCAACAATGGCGGCACTAGTGTAGCCAGAGCCTGCTTTTCTCCATACTACGCTCTCAGCTTTGTTTCAATAAATATCATTTTTTTTACTAAACGACGTACACACCCGCTAGAATTACAGGGTTTCCATAGACAGGTACCATCATGTAGTGTGCCGGCGGGAACCAGCAACAGCGATATGCCAAATCTCCGGAAAAGCTAGAGAGGTAGCCCCTTTCTAGGTCAAAACATCCTATATGCCGCTGTCTATTCGACCTTAAGTTGCTTTTTCACGGTTTCGTTCTCCAAGTTCTCGGCTGATCTCTTCTTCTCATTTTCGGTGTTGATGCCGTCAATGGAGGCCAACGCATCGTCAATTTCTGGCTTCGAGGCAGTGATCGGAGGCAAGGTGACCGATGGTCCGTTACTGTACTGTGGCAGGTGTTGCGGCAGCTGCGGCTGGTGGCCAGCTGGTTGGTTGAGCTGCTGCTGATAAAAGTTTTTGGAGTTCTTGTCGTCAGTCAACCCTTGGGCCAAAATGGCAAGCGCGTCCTGGGCCTGACCCATGGCGTCGTGCGACAGACCGGCAGCCGCGGCTGCAAGCGCGGCATTGAGCTGTTGCTGCTGCTGTTGCTGTTGCTGCTGCTGAAGCGTCTCCACTTTGAGCACGTAGTTCGGCTTGGCGGTGTTGACTTTCCATTCGGCAGGAGTCAAGGAGGAGGCACATTCGTAGCAGTGGTCCACAAAGTTTCTTGAGGCAGGGAACATGCGCTGGCATGCTCTACACCAGCCGGGGTCTTCCTTACCGCTGTTGATGTGGTTACTACCGCCCGTCTTGACGATAACGCCGTCCTTAGGCAAGTTCTTGGTGAATTCGTCGGCACGGCTGTTTCTCTGCTTGTCTTGCACGTAGTGCACCAACTTCAAGTGCCGCTTTAACACATCCAATCGGTTGAAGGCACCACCATTCCGGTGGCAAGTGGGATCGTTCTTCCAGTATGGGCAGTGGAACGCAGGCTCGGCATGCGACTTGATGTGTCGGCGCAAGTCACTTTGTCTGGCAAAGGACCATGGGCAGTCGTCAAAGGTACAGGCGTACGGGCGGTCAGCGGTGCCCTTGTTATCGTCTCCCTTAGCGTTTGGCGGTACCGAGTGTTGGTTACTGGCGGTACCGTTTGCCTTTTTTGCGCGCGGCTTTCCCCCCTTCAAGGGGTCCGGCAGATAGGCCTCTCTGTAGTGGTCAATCAACGCCAGGGCCGCTGGGTTCGCAGCGGCAGTGGACGCAGAAGAGCCCCCCTGATAGTAGCCAGATAAGCCGTTGGCTTGTGCCAGCGGCGCCAGCGTCAGCGCCTGCGGTGTCGTGCCGTTGTTGTAGTAGCCACCCGCTGCGGCAGCTGCGGCGGCGTAGTTGTAGAAATTGTTTGAGCGCGAGGCACTTGGATTCTGATAGTTGTAATTGGCATAGTTGTTGTAATAGGCGGCGTAGGCGGGGTTGGAAGCGCTATTGGCCTCTCCTGCTGGCGGCACAGAGTAGTAATTTGGGTAGTAGTAGGCCGGGTTCACCGGGTTACCAGACGCGGCGGCAGCCCCGGAGACGGAGCCACTTTTTCCGTCAGACGCGTTGGTTTTGCTTCCGGTGGCAGAAGACGGCGCATTCACCGACCCGGTGGAGGGTTTGGATTCGGAGGAGCCCGCAGAAGAGGCTGCAGTCTCGGTGGACTTGATAGTCGGGGAGGTGCTCATTGGACGGGGGGG